GAAGCCTGGCTTGGAGAATTTTGAGCAATACTTTGCTAGCGTGTGAGACGAGTACAATTGTGCAGTAGTTTGAACATTCTTTGGCATTGCCTTTGGGAGTGGAATGAAGACTGACCTTTTCCAGTCCTGTGGCCACTGCTGAGTTTTCCATATTTGCTGGCATATTGAGTGCAGCATTTTCACAGCATCATCTTTTAGGGTTTAAAATAGCTCAGCTGGAATTGCATCACCTCCACTATGCTTTGTTTTGCTTCCTAAGGCCCACTATGTTTTTATGAACAAAATGGTTTGGCAAACTTTCTGTTTATCTAAGTAAGGATTTTGTATTTAGATTGAATGGGAAAAACTGATATATATATTTTTAAATCTCACAATAATGTTAAAGCTATAAATATAGACTTAGGTGTTCCGATTAAGGAGTGCTTTTGAAAATTATTGTTTTAGGAAAGCTTATAGGTAAAGCTGGAAAGTTAAATTTCCTTTTATTTGGATGATATTGGCAGAATTTTGTGCCTATAAGTTCTACTCCACTAGTTTACTTCCTTTTAAACCCATGAACACTGTGGATTTGGATTACTAAGAGTCAATTTCAGTCCTTCACTGTCCCTCACTGTCCCTCATCCTTTATATTTGCTTGCCAAGTCTCCTCTTCTGTATTGTGCTAAAGAAAAAATCTTCCCCCTGGCCATGCTATTTGGCATGTGGGAGCTTAGTTCCCTGACATGGGGACCAGGGATGAACCCATGCCCGCTGCAGTGGCAGTGTGGAATCTTAACCATTGCACTGCCAGGGAAGTCCCTAAAGAAATATTTTTAAAACACAGGCATGTACATGACAGTTTTCTTTTTTTTAATTTATGTTTTTAATCGGAGGATAATTGGTTTAGAATGTCGTGCTGATTTCTGCTGTACAGAAATGTGAATTAGTCATTAGTATACACATGTCTCCTCCCTCCTGAGTCTCCCACCTCCCACCACTCCCTCCTCCCACCCCTCTAGGGATGCCTGAGTGTGGTGCTCAGTCGCATCTCACGCTTTGAGACCCTGTGGATAGTAGCCTGCCAGGCTCCCCTGTCCATGGGATACTCTAGGCAGGAATACTGGAGTGGGCAGGAATACTGGCAGATCCTCCAGGGGATCTGCCCCACCCAGGGATGGAACCCACATCTCCTGCGTCTCCTGCATTGCCGGTGGATTTTTTTTTTTTTTTTTTCGGAAGCCTAAGAACTCTATGCTGGGCTAGTTGTTCAGTCATCGTGGATTTTTTTTTTTTTTTTTTTTTAACCACTGAGCCAATGGGAAGCCTCCTGTAGGGATGACAATCCTCTTAATAAAAATGCCTGAATCCCTGAATCGTGAGCTTTACCTTGAAAGCCAGTAGAAGCTGTTGTTAGAGGTTTCAGGCAAGTCATATGAGCTGGACTGTCTCCCACTTCCGCTCTACCTAACTTTGACTCATCCTTCAAAACTTAATTGTATGACCTTCTCTGGAAAGCTTCCCTGAACCCTCTCAATCACTGATCTAAGTGCTGATCAATAGTGCCACAGTGCTCCGCGTTTTTCCTATCTCTTCACACCTGAGGGCCTTTCTGCTTCCCCACCGCTCAGAGCAGCTTCCTGTGGCAGGCATTGTCCACCATGGAGTCATGTCCTCCAAGAAGAATGTATCAGAATTGGACGAAGCAGAGAGATTACTTAAGGAGGTTGGAAAAGCTCCCTGGGTGATTCTGCTATGTGTCTCTGGAAACAGGTATCATCCTAAGTTTTCATTACGTGGGCTTCTTGAACGAACAGCTTTAGCTAAACTCATGATGTGTTATTTTCATGGACGTTCCTGTGTGTTCTTATAGTGATAATCCCCTTTCCCACTCTGCATTCAGAGAAAGGGACCATTTATTTCATAATAGTTTGTCTTATGCCATAGACCCATAATACCTCTATATACACAATAAATGTAATTGATTAAAGTTGATCCTTTATCATTGTTATTTTAAACATCGGTAATATACGATCCAAAATCCATAACCAGTGAAGTCTCCTTGCTGGCCTGCCTCACATGTAGTGAAACGGGCTGGGCTCACAATTGGTTCATCATTGACTATTTGGCTAATAATTAAGAAACCAACAACAAAGTTTAACTGTATCCCTCTTATCCTGACAAGTATAGCTGGACCACACTTAATGCTTCTTTTTTACTTTGCTTCCTACTGGATCATTATTCACCAAGAATTTATTACATAATGAGTTCTGTTGGGTACTCTTGGAGAAATGAGGCTATGTCAGTGCTGATCTGGCCTTCAGGGCATCCTGGCCTAGCTCCCTGCCATCTCCTAGTCTCTATTTCCCAGGAGACCACAGAGGTAGCTCTTTGAACTGCAAATCTGATTCTCACTTCTTGTTTGAAACCTCTAGTGGTTTCCTGGGCTCCTTAGCCTACTTTACAAAGTCCCGCATCATCTTCTCACTACATCCTTCTGCAGTGTGATCTCTCCTCCCGACACTCCAGTCTCCACCTTCCTTCTTGACTTCTGCTCTTCCATTTCCCCAAACAGAATACTTTCCCCTCACTTTTGAGTCTCACAGTGAGCCATTCCTGGATAATATGCCTGGGTTCTTCCTTCCTCCATCTTTGCTTGCTCATCTCAAGCCCATCCTTTAGGCAGTAATTTGGACATTACTACTTTCATAAATTCTCTCCTAAACAGCTTTTGCTCCTTTTTTAGGCAACCGTCTCATATGCTCCAGTTGGTACCATTCTGGCTCCATCCTGGCTCTCACCACACCTTTTTGTAACTTCTCCGTGAGGTCAGGATCTGAGTTTGTCTTCTTTGGCTTTGTGAGCCCAGGGATTTGGCATGGTATTGACTCAGCAGAGATTCTGTTGAGCACATTACTTGGAAGATAGGAAAGTCATCAAACAATAAACCATGTAAGATGAAACACAGTTTAGGTTGCTCCATTACATGGTAATGGAGGTAAAATTTGCAGGATGCTTAGGACCAGAACGAGGCTTTACAGAGTGGCTAGAGATTGAAAAATTAGCAGGAGGAAAAGAAGGGAGTTATCGGATATGATTGGAGGCTTGGGAACAACCAAACCTGGTACTTGGGACAGTGCAGAAGCTGTGTTGCTATTGGGGAAATGGCAGTACCTGAGGTTGGTGCTTCCCTATAGCTCAAAGGACTTTCCTGTAGCTCAAACGGTAAGGAATCTGCTTGCAGTGCAGAAGACCAGGATTCGATCCTCCGGTTGAGAAGATCCTCTCGAGAAGGGAATGGCAAGCCACTCCAGTATTCTTGCCTGGGGAACCCCATGGACACAGGAGCCTGGCAGGCCACAGTCTGTGGGGCTGCAAAGAGTCAGACACTACTGAGCGACTAACACGAGGTTGGGTCTCAGCTGACCTTGATGCCAAATCGAATGTACTCGTGATTCACTAGCATCCCTTTCAATCCAGTGTTTTTCTGTAAGCAGAAAAAAATTGTGTTGTGTTCTTTGATTGACTCAGATTCCTCCTCAGCACACACACATCATTGCCTGATAAAGCGTCTGGTTTTTCCTACCACCAAGTGCAACTTTATGTGTTCTCTATTCCATCTGGGGAAAGCCTTCTCGATGATGACCTATAACCAAGACCACTTCTTCCCCTCCTACTCTGATTCCAGTTGAGTTTTTTTGAATCTGAGAAATTATTTTTTAAGTACCTGGAAATGGCCTCTAGGTTTGAATAACTTATATGCAACTGTTGATAATGTGCAATTTTAGGCAACCTCAGAGGCGTGGTTTTTTTGATTACTGGATAAAGATGGTGTTACCGATTTTACTTTTGAAAATAGACTGAAAGATTAAGTTCAGCAATTTTAATTACTCTAACTTCTTTTTAAATTTTTACCCCAAAGAGTCTGATAAAGGGAAACACTCATTCTGGAAACTCATCGCTTTACCCAAGGTTGCCTTTTTATCCTTTGTCATCACCTCATTCAGCTCCTGTTTTGGCTTCCTTGATCCTACACTCTCCCTCTTTGTTTTGGAGAAGGTGAGTAGCCTGGTGATGAAAACTCCCCATTGTGGTAGGTGCACATAATTGTTTGTTCTCAGGCCCTGCTTGCTAGAAAGTCCTGGATGTGGATGCAATCTATACATCAAGATAGCCCGTACCTTCTCTCTGTGATGTCCCTATAACTAGGGGTCTGCTTTGTGTAAAATGAAAGAAGACTTTCATCTGGTCTCTTTCTCCTAGACCTCGCTTTAGTCATCATAGATCTGGCTTGGGCAGCATCCTGACTGCTTAACAAGGATACTTTCCTCTGTTTTAATTCCACTGAGGCATTTGCGGTTTTGAGTGGCTCATTTAATGTGAGGTATCCATCTTTTCTGGACTTCCCTGATCCCCTCTGGGTCCATTTACTTTTAGTCTATTCCATATATTTGAAAGACTATGAACTATATTGATCTGAAATGGGAGAAAGGAACCAGGAGTCTCTATCTTTTTAATGCTGAAAATGACTGAATTTTAAAGTTTGATGTCATAGCAATTTGTTCTTTGATATTTTTGAAAAAAGATTATTAAGAAATAATGCAATAGAGTATATTACTGAGTCTGACAGTTAATTATACTAGAGAGTTAATCTGAGTGTATAAAGACAGAAATCTACTAGCTGCAGCCCAAGTTCACCTTGAGGCCCTAGAATGAAGAAAGCACCATTATCAGAAACACAACCCCTTGAAGTCACTCGACAGTTTGGGGTATTCTACAGGTAAACTTGGGGACTGTAATTTTAGTGCCAGGCCCAAGTTTTGGAAAATAATATAATATCACAATTAAGCAGTGAGCATCTATGAGGTTAAGCATAAGAAAAATATCTTGTGTTTTTGATGACACATTCCATTCACATTATCAACAACGAGTCTGCTTAAAAGTCATTTTTATTCCTTTTAAGAACTCTGTCCAAACCTAGAAAAAAAGTGTAACAATCTTTCATAAACCCAGGTTGCTCATGTCTAACTTATAAAAATCTTTAGAAATGTACTTCTCTGTTTTTCTATCACATTTTTTTTTTTCCTGTTGCCCTTCTTCTGCCTTATCTGTTGTTTCAATTGGCTTTTTACTGTCCCATCATTCATTGACCAGTCTTTTAGGGAAGGAAGGGGTCCACCCTGTCTCCGCCTCGCTGTAAAATCAGAAGAGGATATTTCTGACTTTTATATCTTGCTACTGTCTTTAAAGGGCTAATTTTTAGCTTGAATTATGTCATAAAAATTGTTAAAACATATACTGACCTAAGTATATCCCATGTGCTTAATTAAAGAGTAGTTAAGGAAACTAAGGAAAATAAGAATGACTTAGATAACCAAGAAAGGCATTTATATCATGTTGGTAACAGTAACAGAGTTATGAGGTAGCTTATTATTATAAAAGCGTTATAAGAAGTGTCATATCATCTAATTCTTTAATTAGAGATTAATATCCCTTTGAGATGGATAGAATAGATATTATTGTCAGTGCTTTTTATAGAAATGCACTTTAGTCTGTGGACAGACAGCATACCTGGGATTTTTGACATGCAGATTCTCAGGCCTCCTCCCAGACTTTTTGAATTAGAAATTCTTGGGCTGGGGTTCCTGAACCTCTTATAACAAGTTCTCCTGGTAATTTTTTTGTGTATACTAACGCTTGCAAAGCACAGGTTGGCATGTAAATATGCTATGGTTCATAGAAGGATAATTATACAATATTTACTATCAAATGCTAGCAAAGCAAAAGCATCCTGGTTTTGTGACCTCTGGTTAGGTTTCTTCTCCCACAATGAAAAATAATCCATTTACAAGCATAAGACAAAAATCACAAAGGATGCTAAGTGTTAGTGGTAGCCTCATGGCAGGTGATAAGAGCTGAAGAGATGGTAGAAGAAAAAGATAGATGTTTATTTTTAAAAAATGACTTAACCATGTCACTTTAACATGGGATTTCTTTTACAGTTTAATTTACCAGCTGGATATGTGGGATTGGTATTCCTGGGTTTGGCACTGTCCTATGCCATTTCTTCACCACTGGTGGGCCTGCTCAGTGATAAAATGCCAGTAAGTACACTTCACTGATATTTAAGAATGACTTTTGTATGTCTAGACTGGTGGTTGTCCAACTGTACTTCTGGAGTTCTGCAGGGCTACTGATTAGAATGAACATATTCAAATTTTTTAAAAAGGTATCTTTATTGAAGTATAGTTGACAAATATAACTTTAAGATATTTCAAGTATACATCATGGTGATTTGGTATATCTATACATTGTAAAAGGATTCACTCCATCTAGTTAATTAATATACCCGTCACCACAGTTATCTCTGGGGGGAGAGAGAACAGGGAGAACATTTAAATTCGAATATACTCATTTTTTTGAGCTGATGGAGAGATTTCAGAATCTTCCAACTTGTCATCACCCTGAGCAGATTCACTTTTTAATTGCTTCAGCTGGGAAAAGGGGAAGCTTATGCCAAAACTGTTGAAAAACTCCTGGATTAGACTTTCTAAAGGAAAAGTTTCCCTTGATGCAAAAAAAATGGATTGACAATAATGAGGACAGAGCTCAAAGGTACTTAGGACTTGACCAATTTGAAAGGATAAAATGTAGTTTTTCTACAAGAGTGAAAGGACTGGTCATGTCAGTGTGCATCGTTATCCCAGAGCCATCCTGAAAGAAAATTTCTTCTGTTCTCCTTTAACTGGGTTTAAATGATTCAGTCTAGATGACTAGTATAGAGAGCTTAGTACTATGAACCAAGTCTCAAGCTTCTGTGATCCTAGTGCTTATTTTCATGTTTCCCCTCTTTGTTGCACGTGGGTATGTATTTATGAAGACTGGTTATGTGGCGATTACTTGGTAATCCAGGTGAGAAAAAGCAAGTGTCTTAAAGGGTTTGGAACTTAGTTTTAAGATGTAGCCATATATATAACTGAATGGATATCATACCCTTGTAATGTTTAGCCTGCATTTCAGTAGTTTATGAGAAAACATTTATTTGATACTTTTTAAAATGTGAATTTTTCTAGATAATGCATCTACTTGGTTGTTTCTTGTGGTGACCGCTTCTTTAAAATTGTTATATTTGAAACAGTTCATCATTTGCAAAATCTACAATATACTCCCTTTCCAAGGGATCTTGTCCTTTGCTCACACCCTGTCTTGGGATATACTGATTGCACTTACTTTGTGTTTACCATCTACCCTGTTTTTCTTACATGTAAAGTTTTGTTTTCAATGTATTGATTTTTTTTTAAATATCATGACTTGTGTTCCTTGATGATTTCTTTATTTTCTTGGATTATGGTAGGTTTTATCTCTAAGTGTCTTTGGACTTTCTTTCTCAGCACCTGAGGAAATGGCTTCTGGTTTTTGGAAACTTAACCTTAGCAGGTTGCTACATGCTTTTGGGACCTGCCCCCTTCTTGCACATTAAGAGGTAATTTTTTTTTTCTTCTTTCAAATTTTTGGCCAAGTATTATTAAGAATTACTTTTTAAAAATTTTGGTGTAACTCTGATATGCTTAGTATCTTTGAATCTTATTATTTAAATAATGATCAGATTTAGGACTATATTGAATATTTGTTTTACTGACAGTATTACTGGATGCTAGCAATGGTCTAGCTTCTGTGTCATCCTTAGTATGTGATAGCTGCTTACTAAAGCTTGTTTATTATAATTTCTTTGCTAAAATAAAGTGAGCTACTTAGAGCTTTTTAGGTACCTCTGGGACAAAGCATGACATGGAAAAAAGCAAGGATTTCAGAGTCCTTCATGTTTGGGTTTGTATTTGGGCTTTGTGCCTTCTTTGGTATGTGAACTTGGGTAACTCATTTAACTTCCAAGAGCCTAGGTTTTCTTATTCACACACACACACACACACACACACACACACACAAAACAGGTGATAATAGTACCACTGGAATAACTTTCTAGGCTCAGGATGGAATGACTCCCAGGGTGGCATATCAGCAAACCGAAGCTTAGAAAACTTTAATGTCCCTGTAAATGTTCCTCCTGGCCAGAAAGCAGTATATCCAGTCAGCCCGTCACCCCCAGATCGCCAACCCTGCTCTGGCTTTCTAACCCCAGACAAGATAGACGGTGTGGCCCTGGCCAATCAGCTATTTTCTGATTTTCTCTTCCTTGTTCTTTGCTCTTTACCCTATAAAAGCTTCCTGCCTTCCATCCCATTTTGCAGTCCTCTGAAAGGAGACCATCCGCCTCATGAAGTGTTAAATAAAGTTTGCTTCTGTCACCTAGATTGTCTTCTTTAATTGTTTTCACAGACCCCCCATGGCAGGGTCACTGCAAGGATTCTAAAGAGCAGTGGATATGAAGTAACTGACATGGGCCTGGCATGAAATAGCAGGTTCCTGCCACCGGCTTTGCCATGCCCCTTCTGTGCCCTTTTCCAGTCAATGGAATTTTAAAACTAAGTGCTCGAAGGAGTGACATTAACATTGACATTTTAATCAACTTTGGAAGGATTTTATATGGTGATAAGGCAGGTTGACTCCAGGCATTTAACATGTGTGGCCAAAGACCTTGGGATAGCAGAATGAACTGATTTTTTTTCCATCAAAATGTAAAGATCAGATGGGAATAAGAATCAGACTAGTCTTGTAATCTGTGAAAGGAACTTCTCCCAAGTTCCTTGCCCTTTTTGGCATGAAGCTTTGTTGTCTCTTTCAATGTTAATTTTTTTTTTTCTCCAAAACTTTTTTGCAGTCAGCTCTGGTTGCTGGTGCTGATATTAGTCATAAATGGTATCTCTGCTGGAATGAGCTTAATTCCAATTTTCCCAGAGATTCTCTCTTGTGCACAGTAAGTTATTTCCGTTGCTTGAACTGTTGTTATAATTAACGGTAAACATCACAAGCTTTCTTGAATTTCTCAATTTTGTAGGATGTTGGATATTTTTTTTACATTACTCAATCTTCATGATTTCATGTCACACAATATTGTTATAAATATTATAAGCAACAATACAATAATATAAATGATGACATAGAGTAGTATTAATACAGTGATAGGTAAAATGGGTTGTGGGTAGAAGCTTGGCTCGGTTTTCACCTTGGTACAGATATACTTTTAAAAAGTCAAAGCATATATATATGTGTATATGTATATGCATAACTGAAGCCCTTTGCTTACAATAGGAATTAATACAACATTGTAAATCAATTATCCTTCAATAAATTTTAAAATAAAGCCCAAGCACAGTGGAAAGCCCTCAGCATCATTTCCCTCTCACAGCGGAGGTCCATACAAGGGCACAGAGTGACCAGGTGAAATGATTTTAGCACCAATTCCAACGTGTGTTTTCCCCCCTCACACCACCAAGCACTTCTCTGAAACCAGGTGAGTGTCCTGCAATTCAGTTAGTTCTGAAACCATTTAGCTGGAGATGGCAGCAGGTCCCACAGGTTAAGGGCTCAGCCCCACAAGACCGCTCTCTGCTGCAGAAGCCAATTTCAAGCGCAGGTTGTTACCTGTGCTTCTGACCCACTGGATGTAACTCATCAGTTCCCATGACTTGGATTTGGTTAATTTACTAGAGTAGCTCATAGATCTCAGGAAACCAGTTCACTCGTCAACAGTCAGATGACAAGATACCAAGGGCAGTGAGGTCCCAGCAACGGGGCCTCTCTCTGGGCCCAGCACTGTGGCACGAGGAAGCATTCTGGCTTCCCAAGCTGGGAGCATTCTAAACTCAGTCCCTTTGGATGTTTATGAAAGCTTTATTACGTAGGCACGGCTGATTAAATCATTGGCCAATTGGCAATTGATTTAATCTCTAGCCCCATTCCCATCCCTATGGGGAAGGGGTTTGCGGGGCTGAAATTTCCAACCCTCTAATCCATATTGATTCTCCATGCAACATGGGTGCTGGCCCCAAAATCATCTCACCAATACAACAAAAGACACTTTTTAAAGAAAATGGCTTTCATCTTTTAAGAAATTCCACAAATTTTAGGAGCTCTGTGCCAGGAATGGGGAAGAAGACCAAATGTATCTTTTTATTGTGAAGTACTATACCACACCAGGCATTTGTCACTTGGCCATCAGTCTTCAGTAGATGTGATGATGAAGAACACAAAGTGAACTTGAGCAGGAAAATAACTGTTGGTTCTGATGTGCCAATTCAACAGTCCTCATAGGAGTTAGGAGCTGCTTCTGTACTTTCTGAAAGTTGCCCATTGTTCTCTTTACATGTCCATTTCATTTTAAGATTTCTTAATTGTATACTTTAACATGTAATGCAAGTGGGTCAGGATTCTTAATATTATATCCTATATATATACACAGTAGAAGCATTTCTAGAAAACCCTGGGGTAGTCATAACTAGGAGAATAGCTTCAAATTAGGTTAACTTTTTATTTTAGAAATGGAGTGTTCTTGCTGTTGGATTTGTCCAGATAATCCCTGGTTTGGTTTAGTTTGTCTACCATACGCTGTTCCTTTGTTTCATGAAAGTCTCCCTTTTAATCACGAATATACTCTTGTTCCTTTTTGCAGCGAAAACGGATTTGAAGAAGGATTAAGTACCCTGGGGCTTGTGTCGGGCCTCTTTGGTGCAATGTGGTCAGTTGGGTGAGTAGCTTTGGAATTTAATTCACACTTGTAAGTTGGAGACTACTATTCCCATTTTACAGATGGAGAAATTCAGACACTGAGAGATCAGAGGAGCTGCCAGAAGGCACATAATTCTCTTAGGGCAATGCTGCAGTTTTGACCCATGCTATCTGACTTCAAGATCAGTGGTTAAAAAAAAAAAGATCAGTGGTTATACCAACAGTTTTCATAAGATAACCACAATGGTCTCATATACTTTGTCTTATTTAAGTGATATTTTAAAGTTCTTTTAACAGGAGCATGTCTCAGGTTTAAAGATGTATTCATTTATTCATTCATTTTTGTATTTATTTTTTACTTTGTACTAATGGCAACCCACTCCAGCATCCTTGCCTCGAAAATCCCACGGATGGAGGAGCCTAGTAGGCTACAGTCCATAGGGTCGCAAAGAGTCGGACATGACTGAGCAACTTCACTTCATATCATGTTGTTGTTCAGTTGCTCAGTCGGGTCTGACTCTTTGCGACCCCATGGACTGTAGCATGCCAGGCTCCTCTGTCCATGGGATTTCCCAGGCAAGAATACTGGAGTGGGTTGCTATGCCCTCCTCCAGGGGATCTTCCCAACCCAGGGATCAGACCCACATCTACTGCCTCTTCTGCATGGGCAGGCGGATTCTTTTCCTTTGAGTCAGCAGGGAAGCCCACTCTGTACTATGCCAGAGAGAGAATTATATGCTAGCTGTGTAGCTAGCATCAATCAGTTTGTACTGAGTTATTTTAAACACCAATACCTGGAGAGACTATAATAACGACTCTTTTGAATGCATGCCATCTTTTAAAAATTCTCATATAAGGCACCAACTTTTCAGAAGCAGTCATAATCTTAGGATTGTTTAAACATTTCAAGCATCATCCTTTTCAGGTTGAATGATTTTCTTACTTCCCTTGTGGCTCAGCTGGTAAAGAATCCGCCTGCAATGCGGGAGACCTGGGTTCAATCCCTGGCTTGGGAAGATACCCTGGAGAAGAGAAAGGCTACCCACTCCGGTATTCTGGCCTAGAGAACTCCATGAACTGTACAGTCCATGGGGTCGAAAAGAGTCAGACATGTCTGAGCGACTTTCACTTTCTATGTTCTTACACCTAATGCCCTGTTCAGGGCTTCCCAGTTGGCGCTAGTGGTAACGGATCCGCCAACAAGCAGGAGACAAGATGAGGGTTTGGTCCCTGGATTGGGAAGATGCCCTGCAGGAGGGCATGGCAACCCACTCCAGTATTCTTGCCTGGAGAATCCCATGGACAGAGGAGCTTGACAGGCTACAGTCCATGGGGTCACAAAGAGTTGGACAGGACTGAAGTGACTTAGCATGCACACACACGTAGTTTCAATATAATGAATTGAAGAGGTCATGTAGCCCATAAGTGGTAGCTTTTTTTTGGCTCTTTTTAATCTTCTTTCTTCTTTCCATTGTTAGTGCCTTTGTAGGACCAACGCTGGGGGGATTTCTCTATGAGAAAATCGGTTTCGAATGGGCAGCTGCTCTCCAGGGTCTCTGGGCTCTGACCAGCGTGAGTGATCAGTCTTTTACTTTCATTTTTCTTATGTTTATGGAGAAACATGACTTGGATAATTGACGCTAACCATATCTTTCATTATGTTAAAGGGACTAGTGATGGGCTTGTTTTATCTATTGGAGCACTTGAGGAGAAGGAGAAGGTATGGTCAACTCTGGAGCTTTTTCCCTCCCTTTAAAATTTGGCTTGTGGGAGTGGAAAACAAACACCATTTTACACCCATTCTTCCAGTCTGAAGCTCTCTGGGCTCTCTGTGCCTCATCACTCGGTAGACACATATATGGAAATAGTTGGTTAGTGATGTAGGCACTGAGATTTTTTTTAAGGTGAGAAATATTGAGGTTGGCCTCTTTTTTCCTTCAATATAGATCTGAACTTCAAAATATCCTTGGCACAGAGGAGGAACGGACTGCTCTCTTGTCTGATGAAAGGTAGCCTTAGGAATTTCAGCCAATACGGGACTGGAAGATGGATGCTCCTGGCCTTGAACATCAGTGTTGGACTTTCTTAATTTTTACGCACAAAACTCCATGGACTCCACACCAGCATCCTGGAAATGTTAACATAGTTTTGGGTGATCCTGTGTTGGGCTATACATCCTGTTGTCCTGAAGAACTGGCCTTCTGAACCAGTCATATTTGAAATCTTAAATATGAGAGGAGTCATTGAAAATGAACAGAAGTTTGTGGTTTTGAGTGACTAGACTTGGCCTTGAAGATGTTGTTGACTCTGTTTCATCTGTTTACTTTTTATTGAGTGCACTGATTCTGTGAATGTACCTTTTTTATTAACAGGAAAAGAATTGATTTGACATGCCTATAAATAATGTAAAGATAACTCAAAATATACAGAATAATTACTGTGAAATCAGTTTTTAAAATAGTTGCTTTCTCTGTGCCCTGAGTTTTTGTTTGTTTGTTTTCATTCAAAAAGCAATTTCCAACCTATGGTATAAAAACTCTGTTGTATATCCTGGCCATCAGCTCTTCTAAAAATTTTGTTTGTGTGAAAGATACAAGAATAATAGTACTTAACACTTCCAATTTTGTAACATACTGTGAATTAGGATCTTGATTTATAAATAATGCTTGGTTTAATATTATTCATTTCTCTTAATGTCTCTGTTTTAGTTCTATCATTAAAAAAATTAAATATTTCCAATAGATGTAGCCCATTTCCAGAACAAGTGAGTCCACAGGAATACTTGTTCTATGTTAGGGAAGGGGTTCCTCTGACTTTGTGTAAAATCCAAGTCATTGTTTTGAGTGAATCTCTGCTGTGCAACTCTCATACCTCCTGATCCATTTTCATAGTTTAGTAGCCACATTTACCACCACCCCCAATTTTTTAGTAGACTAAATGGTTTTTCATCTATTTAGTAATTAAAACATATTAAATGCCTTCTCTAAGCAGACATTGTGCTTGGTATTACAGAGTTAGCTGTGATCAAGATAAACAGTCTAGCCTTTATGGAACTAATATTTCAGTGGAAGGGATAAAGAATAAATAAATGCCAGAATCTCTATCTATGATAGAAAAAACCTGGTGATATGAAAGAGTAATTGGCTGGAGTTGATTAGGTGAGAGGGTCCTCCTCTAGATAAGGCCTGTCTGTGGAGGGGCTTTTGAACGGAGGTCTGAAGGATGACAATGAGGCAGCAGTTGAGAGGGGAGAGCCCTCCCCAGTTTGCGCAAAAAGGCTTGGCATGGCCAGAGAGAAGGCAGCCGTGGTCCTTGAGGCACCAGTAAGCAGAGGAATTTGGAGAGGTGGGGAGGGACTGGCTTTTGAATGGAGGATGCCAGAATTTGATGCATATTGCAGGAAGCTTGCTCTACTAGGGGTAGAGGGAGATCTTTGGAAGCCTTGAGACAGTCATTAATAGTTCCAAGCAAGAAGGTGATGAAGTAGAGAGAAAAGGATGTTTTGGAAGTGGAAGCAACAGGGCTTGTTGATATGGAGAGAGGAGAGGGAAATTCAGGACGACTCCTGGGGTCTGGCTTGAGGGTATGGGTGGCAGACTCCTGGGATCTGGCTTGAGGGTATGGGTGGGCAGCGATGCCTCTTAGTAAAATGGGGAAGAATGGGAGCAAAGCAGGTCCTGAAGAAGCAAATTAAACCTTGCCCTTTCACACCACTAGAAGGGGAAAAAAAAAAAAATCACAGTACCCAGATTGGATAATACGGACAGAAACTGGACCTAAGGACCATTTCCGTAGGCTGCTTGGCATTAATTCCCCAAACTGAGGATTCACAAACCCCATGAACTCTTCATTCCCCCCCTCCCTCCAAGACCCATAACCCTGAGAACTCCACAGGGTGGTCCAGGGCGTGCCAAGCCAAGCGCAAATGGCCTATCACTCCTCCCCCGCTTGCTGGAGCGGCACTAGGACGAGTGTGACCCCGGCCCGCTGCACTCGTGTGCATCCTGGCTCCATCCCACTGCTTTTCTTCTCTGGGCGAAGGCTAGAGGAAAATAGCCCTCCTCCGCGCAGGGGTCAAGGATGCCGCCGAGGGCCTGCAGTTCCCAACTCTGCCACGTGAGGCCGCTATTAAAGCACCGCCGGGATCCTTCGGCGGCTCAGAGCAGGGACTCGCGCCGCCCCGACCTGGCGTCCAGACGTCACTCGGACTATAAAAACTATCTTTTATGTTAAGATCACATTGCATCCTATGCACATATGACATACAAACTAAGCCAAAGAAAAATAAACAGGACAAATAAAATCATAGATTTAAAAAAATTAAACTTAAAAAAATTTGTGATAATTCTTGATTCATATGTAGTTATAAGAAATAATACCAGAGATCATCTTAATCTTTACCCAGATACCCCAGTGGTAACAGCTTATAATACCTGTAGAACAATATTATAACCAGGTTATATTGGTAGGAGAGAAGGCAATGGGAACCCACTCCACTACTCTCACCTGGAAAATCCCATGGGTGAGGAGGCTGGTGGACTGCAGTCCATGGGGTCCCTAAGAGTTGGACAGGACTGATCAACTTCACTTTCACTTTCCACTTTCATGCACTGGAGAAGGAAATGGCAACCCACTCCAGTGTTCTTGCCTGGAGAATCCCAGGGACAGGGGAGCCTGGTGGGCTGCTGTCTATGGGGTCACACAGAATCAGACACAACTGAAGAGACTAAGCAGCACCAGTGTTTTAATGACAGCGTGGCTGCAGGAAGAGCACATCAACTTATAAAAAAGCACTTATTCAAGTCACTTCAGAGTGATCCTGCCCTCGGATGATTTGTGAACTGCCAACCCTTTCATGATGGGCAAAATAGCATAGCATGGTCTATAAAGCTATGGCTCGAAAGAAGCTAGTGGTGATTCCCGAGAACAGGTCAATCTCTTGGAGAGACTGCTAACTGTATATACACTCAGTCATTACCATAACTGTATCACTGGGTTCAATTCTATGTGATTCTTTTCTTCTGAATTTCAACTTTCTTATTGGGATAGTAAGACAGAGCAAAGTGATGGTAGGTCAGATCCTAGAATCCTAAAAGTTCATGCACCAGTGGAATGGTCTAAATAATAATTAAAGAATGATATGGATAGGGAGGTCTGAGGCTTCATTTTGGATAACACCTGAACTCTTCTTCCCTTTCAGTTATGGGGAAACCACTCCTAAACACCAAAGTTTTATATCCTTATCTATTTAGTGCCCTAGTTTTAACTGGTTAAGCAGAATGACCTTGTACCCTAAGACAAAGCATATTTATTTGAAATAGTATAGCCACCCATCCTTCTCACCATGGTGTCAGCTCAGATCATCTTTTTTGTTTGTTTATTTTGTTTTCAGTTTTATTTATTTATTTATTTTCTTTAAAATATTGTATTGGTTTTGCAATACATTGACATGAATCTGCCATGGGTGTACATGTGTTCAAAATCCTGAACCCCCCTCCCACCTCCCTCCCCATCCCATTTCTCTGGTTCATCCCAGTGCACCAGTCCCAAGCACCCTGTATCTTGCATCGAACCTGGACTGGTGATTTGTTTCACATATGATAATTTGCAAGTTTCATTGCTATTCTCCCATATCATCCTGCCTTCGCCCTCACCCACAGACTCCAAAAGACTGTTCTATACATCTGTGTCTCTTTTGCTGTCTCACATACAGGGTCATCCTTAACATCTTTCTAAATTCCATATATATGCCTTAGTGTACTGTATTGGTGTTTTTCTTTCTGGCATACTTCATTCTGTATAATAGGCTCCAGTATTATCCACCTCGTTAGAACCAATTCAAATGTATTGTTTTTAATGGCTGAGTAATATTCCATTGTGTAAATCTACCACAGCTTTCTTATACATTCATCTGCTGATGGACACCTAGGTTGCTTCCATGCCCTGGCTATTATAAATAGTGCTGTGATGAACACTGGGGTACATGTGTCTTTCAGTTCTGGTTTCCTCGGTGTGTACGCCCAACAGTGGGATTGCTGGGCCATATGGCAGTTCTATTTCCAGTTTTTTAGGGAATCTCCACACTGTTCTGCACAGTGGGTGTACTAGTTTGCATTCTCACCAACAGCGTAAGACAGTTCCCTTTTCTCCTCACCCTCTCCAGCATTTATTGCTTGTAGACTTTTAGATAGCAGCCGTCCTGACTGGCGTGTAATGGTACCTCATTGAGGTTTTGATTTGCATTTCCCGGATAATGAGTGATGTTGAGCATCTTTTCATGTGCTTGTTAGCCATCTGTATNAGTACCATATGTCCTCAATTTATGAAATAAACATGCAGGAGAGTAAGGCTCTGAAATAGCATACTTAGAAAAAGTAAAATGTTATCTAAAGTATTAACAAATGAAACAAAATTTTACATATTCAGTTTTTCATTAAGAATAACTTGCAACTCTTAAAATATTTGCACTATTTCCTGTCAACTACAAATTGGCAGTTGCCATGGTCACTTACCCTGTATCTCAATGAGGATTAAATTATTTGCTGACACTTCTACTGAGTTTCAACACCCTCTGAAAGGAGTTCAGTGTGGAGAGCAAAAGTGAGGCACTCTGTGCGCAGGGGGAAAACACTGGCAGGTTAGGTCTTCAGATAGTTGGACATTTTTAGGAGCCTATTTTATGAGGCCAGTTCTTGTATTTCCTCATATCTAGAAAAGCACAAAAATCCTTCATGGTGGAAACTTTTCCTCCTGACTAGCAGAAACCTTCTGGAAACATGTGCTTGATTGCATGTATTTCCCCCTTCACCAAAATCATATATATACTGACCTTCCTCCATCTGTCTCTTTGAAGCAGTCTCTCGGAGCTATCTGAAGTGCTGTTTCCCAGGCGGCAGTCCTCACTATGCCCAAAATAAAACTTAACTGGCAGCTTCCATGTTGTGCCTTTTCTTAAGTTGACCTTTCTTTCAGAAAATCGACAGATCCAATTTGAATCCCAGTTTATTTGTAGGTGACAATCTAAGAAACATGATGTTCAGGAATAGCTTGTGGTTTATAGTCTAGTGCAATTGGATCAGCAGTACTTAAATAATCTGGAGTGTTTTTCTTACTGATTGTGGTCAACAGCACAACTAATACAAAATGCAGTATTATTATCATTTTTAGGTTTTTGTCATTCAAGATAAATTTGAATACCAAATCAGTTAAGTTGCATTGTTATATGTTTCAAAAGTTACCGCCATGAAATCAGTTGTTGGCTGATTTCAGTTTCTTATTGGCATGAAATCAGTTTCAAATCAGAATTTGAAAAGAGTTTTTTTTTCTTTTAAGAGAATTAAAGCCAGTGTAGGTAAATATTTTGTTTGAACACATTGAACCGAAACAAATAGATGGCCAGATAGTTCCTCAACAAAGATGGGTTTATTTGGAATCAACAGAGAACTGCAGTTCAGTGTTCATAGCCATGGTGAGCCATGCACAAGTCCCCACACAGACAGGGAAGGAAAACACTTCTATAAAGGGAAAAGGAAGTTGGAAGGGCACTGGTAAACAAACAGGCCTTGGCATTTCATTGGCAGAGTCCTTGCCAGGAAAGAAGATGGATTTTTCTTTCCCCTATTGGGCTCTGCTATCCTCGCAGTGTATGAGAGCTTCCTCTCTGATCTCCCAATTCTATTTCATTGAGATTTCTGTTTACTGAATGTTTGAAAACATCATATTAATACTTTTCCTTCAAACATTTTCAGAACTTAAGTGAAATGAATGGTTATATTCATTTCCTCTGTTGTTTTCTATTGCTATTACTGCGTTGCTGTTTCCTCTTTTATTTATGTATCTGATGACGATCAGAGTTACCTGGTTGTCCGTGTGCCCATTCCTAAGAGCTGGGTCCAGCTTGCAGATCTGGAACACGAATAGTATGAGGACAAGGATGTGCATGTCCTGCCACTGCCATCTGGTAGTAAGGAAGTTGCAAGATTTAATTACATAAATGCATCTGTGTCTCTTTTTCTGTTTTGCATANGTCTTTATCTTTCTGGCTTACTTTGCTCTGTATAATGGGCTCCAGTTTCATCCATCTCATTAGAACTGATTCAAATGAATTCTTTTTAATGGCTGAGTAATATTCCATTGTGTATATGTACCATAGCTTTCTTATCCATTCATCTGCTGATTGGGAGGGGGGATCAGGATGGGGAACACATGTAAATCCATGGCTGATTCATGTCAATGTATGGCAAAAACCACTACAATATTGTAAAGTAATTAGCCTCCAACTAATAAATGGAAAAAAAATTACATGAATGCCACTGCAAACTCTCTGAAAGAAAAAATATACTTGAGGTCAAACACGTTGTTAATTGGAAAAAATTAACTGCACAAGGAAGAAAGATCCTCCCACACTTTTTCATTCCTGAATGTGTCTTGATTTGTTCTCAGGACACAGAGGAGCAAGAACTCCCAAACAGATACAGCATATTAACTGATCTTCCATATAAACAAATTTCACTTAGCAAAGCCTAAGATTTGGATTCTGGGTGGGTCAAAGCAGACAAACACAGACTTCAGCTTCTCTTCTCTGTCTTTGAATATAGTCACGTTGGTGAATGGCCCAGCTTACGAGAAATGGAAGATGCTGCTCATAAGGAAATTCTTCCCTCACTGAAACCTCTAAATTCTCTATAAACATTTGCCTGACCTCTTCTAGAGCAGGGAACTAGAGGCTGTGGGAGGTACTGTGACCCTGCCCTCCCTCCAAGCATGACTGTTACTCAGGAGGGTGCGGCTGTGATTAGTTTTAAAGCAACCCCCAAGCGGTTTTCCCAGGCAGTTTTACCGTTGCGCAATCTTCTCAACAGTAACGTATGACTAACCCAGTTTCTCAGTAAGTTTTGTGTGTGTGTATGTTTAAATAAATAGGTGTAAATAAGATAAAATAAAATAATAGAGTGATGCATGAAATAGGGAGAGTTATTGATTAGAGAGCAAATCTGTGGGACTGCTAGAGGAAAAACCATCCAGATGAGCTCATAGAAATGGACTTTAAGTTAATAATTCCAAGAGAAGCCATTCAGGTCAGACTGACATTAGAAGACAGGAAACATGAACAATGTTGTGGAAATGAGAAAATAGAGAATGTGAACTAATTTGACATTCTTTTAGCAAATTAGTGGCCAAAAACAGGTAGGCATCTGACCTGAGAGATTTAAAGACCTGTGTCAAAGCTGTACTGGGCATCACCCTCACCAAAGGGCCTCCACGTTTTGGGTGTGAGATGATAATAACAGCAGAAGCTATTCAGCCCACTTATCAACACTTTCCAGGTGAGAGAAATGTAAGGAGAGGATGTGTAACCTCACCTCACTGTTTTAAATCACTGTCTCTCTATGCCTCCAATTCCTGTCCTATAAAGTGTTGTTTGTGTTATACACTCTCTAGACTCTAAAGGCATTCATGTTTTACTGTATGAAAATAGATGATAAAAAATCTCTTCACATTATCCACCAAAAGACTTGAACATTTTTCTAAAAAATTATTTTCAGTTTTCTATTCTATATAGGTAATAAGTTATTTCTTTACTAAAAATTTCTATTCAATGCAGAACATTTGAGCAGACCTGGTTTATAACCTTTAGACCTCACCTATATCAAGAATTGTGTTTATTTGTTTCTACTCTTTTATGCTGTTTTAACAGTATTTGGAAAGACTCAGATTAAAAAACAAAATCAAACAGACAAATAAACAAAATGCACTAAGTGCTTGTGTGATAGAATCGGACTGGAGAAGGGAGAGTATGGATGTCCTAGGAAGGACAAGCTTCCCTGGTAGCTCAGATGGTAAAGACCCTGCCTGCAATGCAGGATACCTGGATTCAATCTCTGGGTCAGGAAGATCCCCTGGAGAAGGAAATGGGGACCCACTCCAGTACTCTTGCCTGGAGAATCCCATGGACAGAGGAGCCCGGTGGGCTACAGTCCATGGGTTGCGAAGACTTGGACACAACTGAGCGACTAATACTTTCACGTCTTTCAGGAGGTCACGTAATGTATGTGTATGTGTGTTTTAAAGCTCATTTTTGTGGTCATTTGCCCCTAAACAAATGAAATTTCCATCTTATCTGAGTTTACAACAGAGATGATCTTTGTAGTCACTAGCCCAAGTGAGATACTTCCCCTTCCCTTGCATCTATCTTCAAAGAGAGGAAGGAAGGAAGGAAATGAGTGGGGGAGGAAGGAGGCTTAGCTCCCCAAGGAGAGGTTCTTGGTTTCTCCGCTGGCCAAACACCAGGGAGCAGCTCATGGAGGATCAGTGCTTTGGGCACTAAGGTTGCAACAATGAGCAAACCAGACATGAAATCTTGTTTTTGTGGAGTGCACATTCAGAGTCTTTAATAAGTAAGTCAGAGTGTTGATCTGGGTGAATTCTGCCCCCAAAATCACCCTGTACTGCATTCTCCTAGTAGTAAATATTTTAAAAGTTTTCTCATCTTCTGAAAATAAACACAAAAGAGATCCTTCAACAGAACAGAAAAAGAAAATTATTATCTGGTTTTTGTAATTTTTAAAAATGAAATTTATTGTATCATAGTTTTCATATGAGAGTTAATTTAGTAAACTATTTTCTTTCTATTAATAAAAGGGTACAATTGTGTTATATTTGAATTCTTCTTTTGAAATTTGTCATTACACTTTATCAACAGTACATGTTGTACAGTCCTTGTAATACTTTTTGATTGTATTCATGGAACTGAAATTTGTTTCCTCTGAAATGATGAGACATAATATTCATGAGATTATAAAATAAGAACTGGCAGTCACATGTTACATAAATGTTCCTTCCTCTATAAATACTGCATGAATGTTACTTTCACTTGCAGAACTCAGGATCCCTTAGCCATGATCACTTCCTCTTTACAAACCTCCGTGGCAGTGTTTGCCCTAATAATTCTGCATGTCAGTGCTCTGGATACTTTTAAAGCTGCAGTGTATGAACATGCTGTCATACTGCCAAATGATACAAAAACACCTGTTTCTCCGGATGAGGCCTTGTTCCTCATGAACAAGAACATAGATATTCTGGAGAAGGCAATTAAGCAGGCAGCTGAGCAGGTATTCTTTTATTTCTGCAAATCATAATTCGTAAGACAGGCATGAGAGCTGATGAAAACTGGAGTGTTGAATTGTCTACATACATAGAGAAATAATTCTGATTTAACTTGTTTTGAGCAGGGTGCTCAGATCATCGTGACCCCAGAAGATGCACTTTATGGATGGAAATTTACCAGGGAAACCATTTTCCCTTATCTGGAGAATATCCCAGATCCTCAGGTGAACTGGATTCCATGTCAAGACCCCCGCAGGTATTTGAAGTATCCCATTTTTTAAAAAAATTTACTTATTTATTTAGGCCATGCTGGGTCTTTGTTGTGGTATGCAGACTTCTCCAGTTGTGACGCCTGGGCTTCATTGCCCCACAGCATGTGGAGTCTTATTTCCTTAGATCCCTGACCAGTGATAGAACCTGCCTCCCCTACACTGGAAGGTGAATTCTTAATCACTAGACCGTGAGGGAAGTCCCAGTCATAGTTGTTTGTACAAAGTACTGTGATTCTCTAAAATGTATATGCTTACTACAGAAAATGATAAATCCTAACTGTTCATATATGTGTATAAGTTTTATATATATGTAGACATTCGTTTGATTTTTTAAAATTGTACTTAGATACCATTTAACAATTATTTGTAATCTAATATGCTTATCAAATTTGGAGAAATATATAAATAAGATATTTATCATTGGGATTAGAAACTAAGGGGAAGGCAATCTCATGAAAATAAATAATAAATTACTTTCTGAAGTGGACAGGGGGTTGTGTTCGGAAAATATTCCAAGGTCTCTGTTGATGGTATCAGACTTCAGTTTCATCGTCTCTCTACTCTAGAATCTGTTTCCCATGCAGAAAGATCTAAATCATAAGACTTTATGCTTTGACATTTTGCAGTTTCCTAGGATCGTAAAGCTAATTTTTCTAGGAAAAATTAATTTAGAAACTTTCCAATATAAAATATTTAATATATATGTATATTAATATATAACTTCTACTACCTACTAAGGCTTGAATTATTGAGGTACAGGTTGAACACTTCTATACTTCATACTCATTCTTTCTCAACTCTCAGATCCTCTCACCATCTCGTACCCTTTTATACTTTTTTTCACTCTGGTACCTCAAATTAAGCTTATTAAACATTCCTCTGCCATGCTTTTGCTGGGGATTATGGATACCATGCTTTTTGAGGCACTACTGTAAAGTCTGAAGCTTATGTAAGGGTTATCAGAAAATGGCTTTCCTCAGCTCTAAGAGCTTAGCCACACAACGAGGAGAATATAGGGTTCCATGACAGTCGGCAGCCCCACTTTCCTGTTCTTCTTGCTCTGAGCTGATGCTCCCCATGGTCTTTGCCAACTTAGATACCATTTAACAATTATTTGTAATCTAATATGCTTATCAAATTTGGAGAAATATATAAATAAGATATTTATCATTGGGATTAGAAACTAAGGGGAAGGCAATCTCATGAAAATAAATAATAAATTACTTTCTGAAGTGGACAGTGGGTTGTGTTCGGAAAATATTCCAAGGTCTCTGTTGATGGTATCAGACTTCAGTTTCATCGTCTCTCTAGTCTAGAATCTGTTTCCCATGCAGAAAGATCTAAATCATAAGACTTTATGCTTTGACATTTTGCAGTTTCCTAGGCTCGTAAAGCTAATTTTTCTGGGCAAAATTAATTTAGAAACTTTCCAATATAAAATATTTAATATATATGTATATTAATATATAACTTCTACTACCTACTAAGGCTTGAATTATTGAGGTACAGGTTGAACACTTCTATACTTCCTACTCATTCTTTCTCAACTCTCAGATCCTCTCACCATCTCGTACCCTTTTATACTTTTTTTCACTCTGGTACCTCAAATTAAGCTTACTAAACATTCCTCTGCCATGCTTTTGCTGGGGATTATGGATACCATGCTTTTTGAGGCACTACTGTAAAGTCTGAAGCTTATGTAGGGGTTATCAGAAAATGGCTTTCCTCAGCTCTAAGAGCTTAGCCACACAACGAGGAGAATATAGGGTTCCATGACAGTCGGCAGCCCCACTTTCCTGTTCTTCTTGCTCTGAGCTGATGCTCCCCATGGTCTTTGCCTTGGAAGAAAAGGGACAACAGCTGGACAGCCTTTCTGCCTAGAAGTTTTGAGAAGAGGACAACCCATTCGTTTTTCATCTCACAGTAGGATTGCGAGATGGATTCCTTAGTTAAAAAAATATATATATTTGGCCAATTTATGGGCTAGTCAGAGATCACAGTAGCTATGAAAACTGGTGAAGCTTGGCATGCTTAGTTGCCTCAGTTGTATCCAACTCTTTCTGACCCCGTGGACATTAGCCAACCTCTTCTGTCCATGGGATTCTCCAGGCAAGAATACTGGAGTGGTTTGCCATGCCCTCCTCCAGGTGATCTTCCTGATCGAACCCCCATCTCTTACATTGGCAGGCTCGTTCTTACCACTAGAGCCACATGGTGAAGGCTGGAGGACAGGTCTATTCCAGGTGGTTGGTAAATACCTCTTTCATAGCTCTATGCTACAAAAAAGAAATTTTGAAAGAAAATGGTTTTGCGTTGTCATCCAATATAGTCACATTTAATTCATTTAATGATTACTTATTAAGCACCTGCTATGTACCAGATACTATTTTAAGAATAGGAGATATAGCACTTATTAAAGCAAAGTCTTTGCCCTCCCCATGGCTCATGAGTATTCTTGTGGGGGAAGATAGATGTAAACAAACTCATTTATCATATAGAATGTCATTTAGAGATAATAATAGGGGTGTTGACTGAAAAAAACAAATACAATCTAAAATTTGACAATTATGTTTTATTTGGGACTTTACCAAGGCCTTAAGCCTGGGATTCGGCTGCTCAGATACTTCTTTGGACTGTTCCAAAGAGGTAAGGGAGGAACCAAGATATATAGGGATTTCTGCAACACCTCCCACCTCCAAGATAAAACCAAACAAATAAAAGTAAACAAAGTAGTCCAACATCAAAAGATTACTGCTAATGGTTAGGACTATGGACTTCTGCTTTAGGGGGCTAGGTTCAATCCCTGGCTAGGGAACTAAGATCCCACAAGCCATGCCTTACAGCCAAAACAAAATTCTCCAAACAAACAAACAAAAGAGTGACTCCCAAATGTTTGGCCTAAACAGTTGGAGACACAAACTTGCCATTTAGGGACATAGGAAGTGTTTGTGAACCAAGTTTGGTTTCTCTTGTCCAGGCATTGGAAAGACAATCTACTGATACAAGGTCATAGTGAAGGAAAGTTCAATGTCAAGCCAGGAGTACCAGTGGCTAATGCTCAAAAGAACCAAACCCCCGATGGATTTTAGGGAAGNTCTTTGGACTGTTCCAAAGAGGTAAGGGAGGAACCAAGATATATAGGGATTTCTGCAACACCTCCCACCTCCAAGATAAAACCAAACAAATAAAAGTAAACAAAGTAGTCCAACATCAAAAGATTACTGCTAATGGTTAGGACTATGGACTTCTGCTTTAGGGGGCTAGGTTCAATCCCTGGCTAGGGAACTAAGATCCCACAAGCCATGCCTTACAGCCAAAACAAAATTCTCCAAACAAACAAACAAAAGAGTGACTCCCAAATGTTTGGCCTAAGCAGTTGGAGACACAAACTTGCCATTTAGGGACATAGGAAGTGTTTGTGAACCAAGTTTGGTTTCTCTTGTCCAGGCATTGGAAAGACAATCTACTGATACAAGGTCATAGTGAAGGAAAGTTCAATGTCAAGCCAGGAGTACCAGTGGCTAATGCTCAAAAGAACCAAACCCCCGATGGATTTTAGGGAAGGGTTTTTATTTTATTTTATTTATTTATTTTTTAAATAATATTTATTGACATGAATCAGCCATGGATTTACATGTGTTCCCCTTCCCGATCCCTCCTCCTGCCTCCCTCTCCATCCCATCCCTCTGGGTCTTTAGGGAAGGGTTTTTATCTTTTTTTTTTTTTTTTTNTTTAAAGGCAAGGTAAGGAAGAGAGTTGCAGGGTGTGTGATCAGCTCATGCACAATTCTCTGATTAGCTGATGGAGAGGTAATAGGGTGATATCACAGCGGTTAACGTCATCAATCCTCAGATTCCAGCCAGATTGAGGGCTACATGCTCATGGCCTTCATGCACTTAGCTTTTTCCATCTGGTGAGGGTTTTAGTGTCTGCAAAACAACTAGGAATGTGTGTCAGACACTGATTTTTATGTCCTCAGGGGAAGACCTAACATTCTGTGCTCCTGTATGGTTGATCTATTGTTTAAATTGTTACCAGTCCTCCTGGCCCAACTGCTATTTTCTTGTTCCTATGTCTTTACATTCTTCCAGTCATTAATTCTTGAGCAAAATTTTTGTTACTGAGGGGAGGCCTGGGAGACTAAAGTTTTTCTACAAAAAAGAGGTAGGTAGAAGACAGGGCAGGGTGGGGGTGGGGTGGGGGAGGCTGTCCTGGTTAGGTCCCCTAGGGTCCTGGTCGGTTACAGGAGCAATGAAGGAATAGCAAGTCTGGGATAGAACTTAGGAAATCAATTTTGTGCATCTGAAGTTTGAGCTGCACCTTAATAGACATCCAAGTGGAGATGTAACCCTGGTGGATATATATTTGGGTCTGGCATGAAATACAAGGTCAGGGTTGGAGGTAGAAAATCAGGGAGAAAAACACTTTCAAATCAGATTTACTAACATGGATGAGTGCTTATCAATTCGTTCCTTTTCATTTATTCATTCACTCATTCACCCGTGTAACCAGCAAATGTCTAGAGACCTACAGTAAGGAAGAAGAAATGCAGTCATGAGAAAGAGTCATCTGGGGGTTTGAATTTAAACTGCCTGTTAAATGCAAGCTCCAGAACGCTTAATTGTGCTCTAAAAATCAAAAGTGAATCTTATCAGATTCTTATTGGTGAGGTCATGAATGTACTTTGCCAGTGGCAGTTCAAATCAGGAACCATCTATAAATATCTAAGTAAATCTGGGCCCCCTGTAATCTCATTTTTTTTTCAAATCACATTGCTCTCAATGAAACACATGTCATAATGTAATTTATAGGATGGATAAATAGATAATTATTTTGAGACATGCTTTTATAGATTTCCTCCTATTTGCTTTCTACAAATAAAGTCCATATTCAAACCTATTAAGCTTTAGGAAATAAAGCAATATCTATCATCTACACAAGAATAGTAGCTGCATTTTTAAATATTGATAATCATACTTAGTTTATAAAAGATATCCTGACATGGCGCTCACTCTATTCCTTTCATATTTAGTGTGACTATTCTCAAGTAATATTGATAACTTATCTATAAAGCTATGCTGGGCTTCCCAGGTGGCACTAGTGGTAAAGAATCTGCCTGCCAATGCAGGAGACGTAAAAGACATGGGTTCGATCCCTGAACTGGGAAGATCCCCTGGAGGAGGAAACAGCTCCCCACCCCAGTACAGCCGCAGAGATAGAGGAGCCTGTCAGGCTGCAGTCTATGGGGTCACTAGGAATCAGACACAGCTAACCATCTGAGCACGCACAAAGGTACGCCAACTCCACGCTGGTCAGTAATGTTAAAGAGCAAAAATCTTGGTCCTCAGAGGAGGAAGAACTGTCTCAAAGAATGATCTAGTCACAGATGTAACCACAGGTCTGCATATTCTTTATTCTGGGTAAAACAAGAGACCTGTCAAGTACATTTTTTATGTCCTTAATCATGTACAAACTTTGAAAAAAAGTATTTCTACAGTAAGAACAAAAACATTACTTTCATCATATAAATTTATAGGATGGATAAATAGATAATTATTTTGAGACATGCTTTTATAGATTTCCTCCTATTTGCTTTCTACAAATAAAGTCCATATTCAAACCTATTAAGCTTTAGGAAATAAAACAATATCTATCATCTACACAAGAATAGTAGTTGCATTTTTAAATATTGATAATCATACTTAGTTTAAAAAAGATATCCTGACATGGCGCTCACTCTATTCCTTTCATATTTAGTGTGACTATTCTCAAGTAATATTAATAACTTATCAATAAAGCTATGCTGGGCTTCCCAGGTGGCACTAGTGGTAAAGAATCTGTCTGCCAATGCAGGCGACGTAAAAGACATGGGTTCGATCCCTGAACTGGGAAGATTCCCTGGAGGAGGAAACAGCTCCCCACCCCAGTACAGCCGCAGAGATAGAGGAGCCTGTCAGGCTGCAGTCTATGGGGTCACTAGGAATCAGACACAGCTAACCATCTGAGCACGCACAAAGGTACGCCAACTCCACGCTGGTCAGTAATGTTAAAGAGCAAAAATCTTGGTCCTCAGAGGAGGAAGAACTGTCTCAAAGAATGATCTAGTCACAGATGTAACCACAGGTCTGCATATTCTTTATTCTGGGTAAAACAAGAGACCTGTCAAGTACATTTTTTATGTCCTTAATCATGTACAAACTTTGAAAAAAAGTATTTCTACAGTAAGAACAAAAACATTACTTTCATCATATAAAGTTATCCTATTCATTGTAAAGACACAGTAGTCAGATTTTTCAATAAGCCATGCGAACATGCTTTTTTACACTCATTTCAAATCCAAAGATAAGAATTATAGACTATTTTGCATAACCGCTACGTAAGGGCACAGAGTCACAGCTAAAAAGAAAGGCACAAATGGAAGGATCATGTCCCTTCTTTTTTATTCTGCTGTTTGTCGCTTAATTGTCTTGGGAGCTCCAGAGTCCAAAGGTCATGGCCCTCACAGCTGGCCTTGGTCCAGTGGCTAAGAGTGCTACCATTTCCAGGGGGTTCCAGTGGCATTCCACCACCAGAATAACACATGTAACTTTGGATTGCACCACTAACAAACTGAGACACCCTTGCCACCATGACCCAGAAAGAGAGCTCATTTAACTATTCCCAAACTACCAAGAACCAAACTCCCCAATACATCTTAAATTCAAGACTTTAGGAGCTGGATTATTGTTGAAAATAATAAAAGAATAAAATTCCCTTTGAAAAAGAAGAGAAATTTATCTCTAATAGAGAGACAATATTTAACACCAAGATGGGTTCACCTATGGAATGAGTTAGAGAAGAGAAGCAATCTATTGCTTGAGCCACAGGAAACTTCAATGTTTAGACTCAGGGCAGAAGAGGAGGAACCAGAAAAGGAGATGGAGAAAAGCCGCCAGTGAGTAGGAGGACGAGAGAGTGGGGTCCAATAGGTGGGGTGAAGTGTTTCTAGGAGGGGGTGTAACTCCATCAGCTGATGCAGAAGTGGTACAAGATAAGGTAAGATGCAGCTGTCATCACTTGCATTAGTAGGGGTTGTCAGGTGGGACGATAGCAATGAAGCCTGATCTGGGCACTTCCAAAGAGAATGGGAGAAGATGGGCTGATCCAGAAAGAGGGCCAGCTATCTCAGGGAGTTTTATTTGAAGAGGGACCTATGAACCTAGGGACCTAAGGAAAAAATAAATTAGAAGGGCATGTGGGAGTCAAGAGAGGTTTCTATTTTATTTTTTTTTCACAGATGAGAGGTACTAGTGTATATGTGTGTGTTGATGGAGTGATCTCTTGAAGAGATGAAAATTGTTGCTACAGGAGAGTGAATAATGAATTGCTGGAGTAATAGATACAGTGTGGAAAAACTTCACCAAGTATAACTTGTGACTTCTAAATATGATCTCTATCATGTCACATAATTAGTATTTTTTGTGTGTATGTGAGAAAATTCAGACCTAGTTTCATAGTGACTTTAAAGTTGATCATACATGCAGATATATGAATATAAGCATTATGTTATGCATTCAGTCTCTGGGATTTATCTATTTGTAAGTTACAAGTTTGTTCCCTTAAACTACATGTCCCCAGTTTCCCACAATCCAACTTCTGATATCCACCATTATGTTTTCTGTTTCTACAAGTTTGACTTTTAAAAATTCCATGTATGAGTGATATCATACAGTATTGGTCTTTCTCTCTTTGACATTGAAATGTCTTAATTAAAATTTGATTTAGATTTGGTCATACACCAGTACAAGCAAGACTCAGATCTCTATCATGTCACAATTATTATTTTTTGTGTGTATGTGAGAAAATTCAGACCTAGTTTCATAGTGACTTTAAAGTTGATCATACACGCATATATATGAATATAAGCATTATGTTATGCATTCAGTCTCTGGGATTTATCTATTTATAAGTTACAAGTTTGTTCCCTTAAACTACATGTCCCCAGTTTCCCACAATCCAACTTCTGATATCCACCATTCTGTTTTCTGTTTCTACAAGTTTGACTTTTAAAAATTCCATGTATGAGTGATATCATACAGTATTGGTCTTTCTCTCTTTGACATTGAAATGTCTTAATTAAAATTTGATTTAGATTTGGTCATACACCAGTACAAGCAAGACTCAGCTGCCTGGCCAAGAACAACTCTATCTATGTTGTGGCAAATATGGGTGACAAAAAACCATGTAATTCCAGTCATACCAGGTGTCCTTCTAATGGCCATTATCAATACAACACCAACGTGGTGTATGATAAAAAGGGAAAGCTGGTGGCACGTTACCATAAGGTAAGAGGGGGTGAGTGTAAAATGGAGCCTCCTTTGAGAAGGCTGTATTCTGTGTTTAGGAGATAGAGCTTCATTTCCTTATAATATGATGTTTTATTGTTGTTGTTCAATCACAAGGTCATGTCCGACTCTTTGCAACCCCACAGACTGCAGCTTGCCAGGCTTCTCTGTCCTTCACTAGTCCTTGGAATTTGTTCAAATTCATGTCCATTGAGTCGGTGGTGCTATCTAACCATCTCATCCTCTGCCACCCTCTTCTCATTTTGCCTTCAAGCTTTTCCAGCATCAGGGCCTTTTCCAATGACTTGTCTCTTCACATCAGATGGCAAAGTATTGGAGCTTCAGTTTCAGCATCAGTACTTTCAATGAATATTCAGGGTTGATTTTCTTTAGGATTGATGTGTTTGGTCTCCTTGGTATCCAAGGGACTCTCAAGTCTTCTCCAGCACCACAGTTCAAAAGCATCAATTCTTTAGCACCCAGCCTTCTTTATGGTCCAACTATCACATCCATACATCACTACTGGAAAAACCATAGCTTTGACTAGATGGACCTTTGTCAGCAAAGTAATGTCTCTGCTTTTTAATACATTGTCAGGGTTTTTCATCTAGGTTTGTCAATACGATGTTACCAATATTTTTTAAAAGAGAGCAATAAAAAAAAGACATTTTAGAAATGTGGATTAAATTGTAGACTGAGATCTGTAAGAAAGGTTTTGTAAGTCCAGGATCAAGATAAAGTTTTTGCATATATAAAACAAATAATTTTAATATTGATACAAAGGATACTGAGATGACTGTCATCTGGATACCAATCAGTTCAGCTCAGTCACTCAGTCATGTCCGACTCTGCGAACCCATGGACTGCAGCACGCCAGGCCTCCCTGTCTATCACCAACTCCCAGAGTTTACTCAAACTCATGTCCATTGAGTNTCCAACTCTCACATCCATACATGACTACTGGAAAAACCATAGCTTTTACTAGACGGACTTTTGTTGGCAAAGTAGTGTCTCTGCATTTAAATATGCTGTCTAGGTTGGTCATAACTTTTCTTCCAAGGAGTAAGCATCTTTTAGTTTCATGGCTGCAGTCACCATCTGCAGTGATTTTGGAGCCCCAAAAAATAAAGTCAACCACTGTTTCCCCATCTATTTGCCATGAAGTGATGGGTTCAGATGCCATGGTCTTAGTTTTCTGATTGTTGAGCCTTAAGCCAACTTTTTCACTCTCCTCTTTCACTTTCATCAAGAGGCTCTTTAGTTCTTCTTCACTTTCTGCCATAAGGGTGGTGTCATCTGCATATCTGAAGTTATTAATATTTCCCCTGGCAACCTTGATTCCAGCTTGTGCTTCATCCAGCCCAGCATTTCTCATGATGTGCTCTGCATATAAGTTAAATAAGCAGGGTGACGATACACAGCCTTGACGTACTCCTTTTCCTATTTGAAAGCAGTTTGTTGTTCCATGTCCAGTTTTAACTGTTGCTTTCTGACCTGGATGCCGTTTAACACTAAAATGATAAAAGATGTTTTCATATTGTATGAATCAGTTTCATAGAAGCCAATTTCTTTGTTTTCTATCAAGTTACAAAAATGATCTTTCTTTTTTAGTTTCTATACCAGTTGATTTAATTATCCTTTTATTGATTTAAGGTCAAATTATAAAATTTTTACTTTAAAATCTGAGTAAAATAACCTGAAGGAATAAACTAACCTAGAGCCATAATTTTGTACCAAATTGGGCAGGGAGAGAGACTGAACTTCTACATGAATATGGGGTGTGCAGGTCCATGTGAATGTCTCTTTTCCTGTCCCATATTCTGTTTTCTAATCATCTTATATTGGAACCTCAGAATCTTCTGAGTGGAGAAATTATCTCCTGGAAGTCCTAGGTAACAAATAAATTTTAATCAAGAAGAAAGATATAGCATCAGAGATTTTCAAATGTTCTTGATCATATACCTCTATGAAAAAGAATTTAACACAAGTCCTTAAAAATATGTTTACATTTATTTATGCATTTATTGGTGCATTTATAAATAAGACCCAAAACTTTCCAAAAGTTTTCTATGTAATCTTGTGGGTCTGTCAACTTGTTTTCAAATGTAATTAAACTTTCATGTTCTCAAAAATGTGTCTCGCGTTAGGAATAGAAATGTCATTTTTGTTATTTTGGAGACCGTGTTTGCATCGTTAGTATCATTTTAAAGGCTATTTTTGCAGTTACTCTTCTATTCTGTAAGTGTTGACCTAGTTAAACTGAAAACATAGTTGATCAATCCACTTAACCAGACCCAGTAAATGGCAGGATGGCGCAGTGTACAGGATGTGGGCAGCTAGTGAGGACCTGAGTCATCCTAAAGTGAGAAGCTCCCACCCTCCCAGCAGGGCACCTGAGAACAGTTTGTGACCGATGTCCTCTGACATATGGATCTGATAAGAGTACTTTGGTCGATTGATTCTTAAAATGCTAGTAAATTTCAATTAAAAATTTTTAAGATAGAAAATAAACATTGAGAGGAGTTTTAATAGTATTGCTTCTAACTCTCAGCTTTTCCTACTTTGCAAATCATTTTATTAAGCTATTTTATTAGCAAATTAGACTAGGTTTGTTTCTCAACCTTACTTGGAAGGAATCAGAATGAAATAAAACATTTGTGTTTAACAACAATTTTCAAAACTGGATAACAGTCCCTGAGATTACTTTGGAAGGGACATGGTAAACAGGGATGGGGCCTCCCTCACCTGCTTAACAGATATTTATTGTGTATCTATTATATTTCTTCTTCTCCGGTGACTCAGTGGATGCAGATTATATTTCTAAATGGAGAGAAACTCATGCTTTGGATATGACCTGTTGTAATTTTTTTTAGTTCTTTGTTGGGACTTCTCACTAAGCTTATATCTGTTCACACAAAAAAAAAAAAAGAAGAAGAAGAAGAAGAGCTACTGTTATAACAACAGCTACATATAATAGCTATGTCTGTGTTAAGACTTTTATGTGTATTATTTCATTTATCCTCACAACTTAATGTGCGGGCTGAGGATTATCAGTCTGGTTTTGTGGATTAGAAAACTGAGACACACAAAAATGCAAGTCACCTGCCAAAGGCATCAGCTAGCAGGTAGCAAGAGCTTCCCTGGTAGTTCAGTGGTAATCTGCCTGCAATGCAGAGACCTGGGTTCGATCCCTGGGTTGGGAAGATCCCCTGGAGGAGGGCATAGCAACCCACTCCAGTACTCTTGCCTGGAGAATTCCATGGACAGAGGGCCTGGGGGGCTGCAGTCCATGGCGTCTCACAGCGTGAGCCAGGACCTAAGTCACTACCCAGCAGTAGAAGTATGTAGCGAAGCAGGAAACTGAACAAGATGTGCTCTAAAACTGGTGAAGGCAGCGGAGCGTGTTATTGATGTGTTGCTGTGTAATAAATTACTCAAAAAGTAAAAAGCGGAAGTGGCGTAAAACCACAAACATCTGCTATTTCACAGTTTGTGCTGGTCGGGAACTTGGGAGTAGCTTGGGTGGTCCTGGCTCAGGCCATCTCTTCAGGTTACATCAAGCCTTTGCCTGGGCTAAGAGTCACTTGAAGACTTGACTGGGGCTGGCAGGTCTGCGTTCAGGATGGCTCACTCGTATGGCTCTTGGTAGAGTTCCTCTCTTTCTCAATCGCTGTTGACAGGAGACTTTCATTTCTTGTCGATGGGCCTCTCCATAGGGCTGTGTGATGTATCCTCATGATATAGCAGTTGACTTTCTCCAGAGCTAGTAATGAGAGAAAGATGGAGAGAGATAGGGGAACGCTGCACAGCTTTGTATCACTTGTCACAAGCCATTATTTCTACCTCATTATATTCATTAGGAGTATGTCACTAAGTCAAGCCCACACTCAAGGTAAAACAAATTAGATCCAGACATTGGAGAGAGGAATAGTGAAGAATTTTTGGACATATTTGAAAACCACCACAATGGAGAGCAGGAGGGACTGTTCTTTTATGTCACCTTCCCTACGTCTCAAAGGGCTAGTGGCAAAGAACCCACCTGCCAATGCAAGAGACATAGGAGATGCCAGTTCTATCCCTGGGTTGGGGAGATCCTCTGGAGGAGGAAATGGCAACCCATTGCAGTATTCTTGCCCGGAGAACCCCATGGACAGAGGAGCCTGGTGGCCTATAGCCCATAGGATCACAGAGGATCAGACACGACTGTAGTGACTTAGCATGCACATCTCAGAAACTTCAATGATTCAGTGGTTTTAATATTTGGCTTAATTTTCTGTTATGGTAATAAATTATGTTCAAAGTTTATTGAATGAGACCACTGATCATTCAATTTTTAATCTCCTCCAGTGGAGAATAGAAGAAGTACCTGGGTGTTCAATGCCTTGTGCCGTCTCGTGACTAATCTTGTGACATGACCATATGCTCAGTTCTGATGGGGAAACTGGGGGTGTTGGGTTTGTTTGTTTGTTTTTAAAAGACTTGTCTTTCATTCACAGGCAGTGGTATCTATGCACCACGCTCTCCCAAAGTCTACCATCATGATATGGAAACAGAGTCAGGAAAGATTCTCTTTGCGGAGGTGGATTCCCATCCTCGGAACTCCCCGACCTACCCACCAGCCGTGAATTGGAGTGCCTACGCCACCTCCATCACACCCTTTCCAGGAGCTAAAAATTCCTTCAGGGGATTTATTTCCCGCGATGAGTTCAACTTCACAAAGCTCTCTGAAAGTGCAGGAAACCTTACCGCGTGTCAAAAAGAGTTCTGCTGTCATCTAAGCTACAGGATGTTAGGACAGGAGGGGAGTGAAGTGTATGTTCTAGGAGCTTTTGCAGGACTTCATGGGCAAAGGAGAAGAGAATATTGGCAGGTAATCTCAACTCAAGTGAAGACGAGTGTTTGGGTGTGAGTAAATTCCAAGGTTAACTTTTCATATTTGTCCCAGGGAATCCAGTGCTTTTTTGTGGCTTGACTCCATGCATTGCCAGTGTCACACACACACGCTTTGGGATTAATCCTATGATATTTGCAGGGGAGCTAAGTATCATCTGATTGCTTGCTTTGAACACATTAAAAAAATATTAACCTGATTTTCTAATTGACTAATGAACTAGCTTACATATTTAAGTGACTTCCTTAAGTAATTGTGCTGACATATCTAAATATAAAGCCTTATTTTAACTTTTAAAACTAACAATAAGTAGGGATATCATTTTTATTTTAACTGCTCTTGTAACCATAGGTCGTAGTCATTTCCTGCCCTTCCAATGACAAATTTTTAAAGTGCAAGCTTTTTGTATAGTGTTGGCTACGCATTTGCATTTTATTATTACACTCTGTTCCTCATTGCTTTCTTCTAAGGAAACAGATATGAAAAAAAAAGAGAGAGAGAGATGGTCAAAATCCTAATCATTCTTTTGACTTTAGTACTTCTGTTGCCCAAAGAGTTCCACTTTCTTGGACCAAATGCCATCTTCTGACATGCCAGATGAATGGTTTATATCTGATACCAAATTCAAGCTTGTACTGCTTACTGTGGTATAGACCAATAAATTGAGATATGAGTTGTTGTGGCAAGGAACAGTGACCTTATTTGGAAAGCCAGCAGACTGAGGTGGTGGACTAGTGTCCCAAAGAACCGTCTTTCCTGAGGTAGAAGTCAGGCTTCTTTTATACTGAAAGGGAAAATGGTAAAGTCCTGGTTCCAGTCAGACTCTGGAAGGGAAATGTAAAATTTTTCTTCTTGTAGTCATTCATAAGTGGAGCTAGTCTAGATATTCCCTATGAGCTAAACAGAGGTATTTTAGCTTATTACATGAAAGGCACAATTCTCAGAGACAGTTCATTATGTATAATTTAAGCTTATAGGCAACCTCCATTGAGGCTTCCAGGTGACACAGTGGTAAAGTATCCACCTGCCAATGCAGGAGACGTCAGAGACTCAGGAAGATCCCGTGGAGGAGGAACTGGCAACCCACTTCAGTAATCTTGCCTGGAAAATTCCATGGACAGAAAAGCCTGGCAGGCTACAGTCCAAGGAGTTGCAAAGAGTTGGACATGACTGAGCAACTGAGCGCACCCGTCTCCATTCAGTGATTAACTTGTAGAAAAGCACTAGAATATAAAGGTTAAAGTAAAAGGACCAGATCCAATATGGAGTCGGATTTGTTCTCTCCTGTTATGAAAACTGGCTTCTTTCTTTCAACCCACTGGTTGCCCTGGATGTGTGGGTTGGCTCTTAATCATTTGCCATTTCCAATAAATCAAGTAATTATATGATCCAAATCCCTTTAGCAAATGGAGAAAATATTTTCTTTGCTATAAACTGAGTCAACAGTTCTACAAGCAACTTAGATGCAAGGTGTTGGAGCTCATATGCATCTCTTCTACACAGGTATGCACAATGCTGAAATGCGGATCTACTAATTTGGCAACGTGTGGACAGCCAGTAGAAACTGCTCTGACGAGATTTGAAATGTTCTCCCTAAGCGGTACATTTGGAACAGAGTATGTTTTTCCTGAAGTGCTACTTTCTAAAATCAAGCTGGCACCTGAAAAATTTGAGGTAGGAGAATTCTAAGAGTGTCTTCATTTTATCTGTCTTCTGAAGTCAAACAAAACAGGCTAAGAAAACAGTTTCTGTTAACCTTTGCTGTGTAACAAACTTCCTCAAAATTTCATGGCTTTACACAATAACCGATTCTTTAGCCTGATGTTGTGGCTGGTGCTGTGAACTGGGTGTGACTAAGCTGTTCCTCTGGACTAGAAGGGGCTCAGCTGATCTTGGCTGGGCTCATTCATGCATCTGCTGCTAGCAAGTGAGCTGGCTGGGGCTGGTTGGTTGGTGATGGCCATGTCTTGAACAGGTGGAATGACTGGAGGCATGTTCTGTGGTCCCTTATCTTCCAGAAAGCCTGGGCTTGTCCACATGTTAAATGAAAGAGTCCAAGAGCATAAATAGAGAAAGAAACACAATAGGCAAGTTCTTTTTAAGTCTCTGCTTGGACCGTGTTTGCAAATATTTCATCTACCATAAGCAAGTCACATGACCAGTGTAGATTCAAAGGGTGAAGAAATAAATGATGCAGAACTCTCAATGGGAAGAGCTGTGAAATCATATTGCAAAGGGTATGGATAAGAGGGGGGTGGGTTTGTGACCATATTTGTAACTTACAGCAACTAATTCTTATGTGATGACACTTTGTTGGAACAACACAAGATATCTAAGGCCTATGAGTCTGAGGAACCATTCATTGCAGAATATTGACTTACAGAGTTTTAATTTCTCTTTTCTAACATGTGAAGACAAATAGAAAATCAAGTATTTATTTCATAAACCACAGTGGTCATAGCTAGTTCATCCACAAATTAAGCTGGTCTCAAATTAAAATTAAGATTCTGCAGGTTTATATCTGCTACTTAGTACATGGTGCATATACACACACATATATACACACACTCCGCAAGTTTGGAATTCAATGTCTTCATCAAACTGTGACAAATGGTGGCAGAGTTTTAGAAACCTGAATGAAATCACTGCATTTTTTGTTTTTACAAAAGAAAAACAGAATCTAAGCTAATTAATCCAAAGCATCAAGCAAGGGAATCTTTAAAATTGCAGACTGCTTATGGTTATATATCTGTGTCTGCTTGTATTATCAGATTGGAATATGTCATATTTGTAAAAATGTTTAGTTCTGTGACACCAACAGTTTAATATACAGTGCAGCCTTAAGGCTGGGAAACTCAGAGAACTGGAATCCTTGGCTGCCATAGAACCCAGTAAGGCAGAGAATCTCGGGAGCACATTGAGGCTGGAATAAAACCTTTGGTGCCAACTACAGAAAACCATGATCAGATCTGAAGTAAGAGATCTGGAACTGAAATCCAATAGTTAAAATTTGTTAGCCTTGTACAAACATGTGTCGATAAGTTGAAATTATCTGCGAATTCAAGGAAGTGAAAGAAAGGAGGGTAGGGCTCACTCAGGAAAGCTTAGGAAGACATGGAGTCTAGTAGTATGTGCGCACTGTGTCTTGTAAGCCTTGCCATTCATTTTCTTTTTTAATTACAGTATAATTAGTTTACAATGGTGTGTTAGTTGCTGCTGAGCAATGAAGTGAATCAGCTATATGTATACATACATGCCCTCCCCCTTGGATCTCCTTTGTCACCACACATCCCACCTAGATAAGCCTTGCCATTTCAACACACAATCTAATTTTCTGGGTACTATTTTGAAAAATTTTCCCCATGCCATGTACTCTTAGACTTGTATCTCTTTGAGGATTTACTCCAAAATAGGACAGAACATTTATCTCACAAAAGAGTCTCATCCATGGGAGAAAGATAAAAAACAGTTGGAGTTTTCCAGATCACATTAAAGTTCCAAAGTCCGAGATGCCATGTGACTATCACATCAATATACTTGAAGAAGTTGGTGGTACTAGTTGATGAGGATTTTAAACTTTTCATCACAAATGGTTTTAGGCGGTAGAAAACAGTGAGAGAATAAAACAAAATAGTAACTGGTTAAGCACTTAACTTAATTTGTTGATCTCAACTCAAAATTCTGAGAATTAGTCAGGCTACCTCCTGTCCTTGGACACTGGCCCTTTATTTTTGGATAGAAGGAGGGAGGAGAGGGAGGGGTGGTATCTACCCTTTAAATTTAGCACTTACAGAGACTTCCCTGGCAGTCCAGTGGTTAAGACTTTGCACTTCCAATGAAGGGGGCATGGGTTTGATCCCTGATCAGGGAAGTAAGATCTCGCATGCTGCATGGTATGGCCAAAAATGATGATAAATAAATAAATTAGGCACTTACGTTATATTTATCATTTGGGCCATATCTCATCTACCCACTCCAGTGTTCTTGCCTGGAGAATCCCAGGGACAGGGAGCCTGATGGGCTGCCGTCTGTGGGGTCACACAGAGTCGGACACGACTGAAGTGACTTAGCAGCAGCAGCAGCATCTACTCCAGCTCATCTGCAAAAAGAAGAAATGAGATACACTGTGTGTTGACTCCTCAGAGCTATAAAAGAGGCATTTGTCTGCTGGCAAGCAGGGGTTTTGGTATAACAGTTCCTTGGAGGATGTTTCCTAGTTAGGGTACTGGTTTTCATTTTACGAGTGTAGATTCTCTGTGGCATGACTTTCCCTGAAGTTCATCAGGTTCTAAGGAACGGACACCAAGTAAACTCATAAGAAAGACAAAAGGAAGAAACAACTAACCAAATGAACAATAAAAAAAAATAAATAAAAAAAAAATCAATGATCAAGAATTTTATCTTTTAGCTATTCTTTCTCTAGAAACTTTGCAGATCATGTTAACCTGCTATTTCTAGAGATATCCGTTCTAATATCATAGGTGACAAGAGTTTTGCAAGAGTCGCACCAACCGTGTTTTCCTGAGCGTTTCCCCAGTTTCCCTGGTTGTGGACTCTCCATCAACATATATTTACACATTATCTTTGAAGATGCCTTCTGCAGAGATTTCAGTGTATTTACTTCTTATCTTTTCCCCACCCCTAGTTCTAGCTAAGAGTATGAAGTGTTATCGACCACAACTCTGGGAAACATTGCTTTACTATTTGAAGTTAACTCTGGTATATTATCAGACGGACTGGAAGAGTAAGCGACCAGATCCCATTGTAGATCAGTAAATCAGAGTCTCTGGGGGTGAGACCTGTATTTTTCCATAGTCCCACATTTTGGTGGGTTGATTGATTGATTTGATTTTTGTGGGTAAGAACTCCCAGTGTAAGAGAATAATCAAAAAGATCAAATTATATTGAGTATATACTATTTAGGAGGTCAATTAATTATACGGTATATTTTAGGAAAATTTGTAACAGGAAACTAGTAAAAATGCTAAATTCTAGCTAGAACCTAAGATACAATCACTGACATGGAAAAGTTAATCCCAAGGAAGTTAACATAGACACGATTTTACTATATGAGTGAAAAGTCACAAGAAAACTAAATATTTGTGTTTAACTTGTTTCAAACTTTCACCCAACTATAATTTGAAATATACCTCTGGTATTTCATTTTTGTTCCTTTAACGAACAGTTTAGTTAGCAAGGAACAATTTAGAAGCAATGAACACTTAACTAACTACCAACAGGTTGTGCATTTGGCAACTTGTTAGTGAGCTGTGTTTTTATGTTTATGTGTCACCACAATAATTATCTTTGAGGATATTTAGCTATTTTCTACTTCTAGTTATGAAGCATCTAATTTCTTACCCTCTAAGTTCTTTCCCCATCCAAATTGTCCTTTCCACAACTGATAAATTCATTTTCTTTATCTATAATTTATCTATAAATTCATTTCTTGTTCTCTTGTCTCTCTATTTGTGTTTCTTTCTATAAATTCATTTTCTTTATTCTTGTTCTGTTGTCTATTTGTGTTTCTTCTTGTTCCATTATTTTGCATACATTACTCCCTTACAGAGAAGCCTCTGTGACTTCAGGAGAGATCCAATTGTTCACAATTTTTGCATATCTAACCCTTGCTTTTCTTTTTGACCATATGCCTTAGTCTTCTCTTCACTAATCTTCAACTAGTGATGCACTATAAATTGTAACAAGCCATTCTCTAAGGGAGAAGCAAAGCTCTGATGTGTGGCATTTGCCAATTATCATGGTGTAAATACTCTCACCACGATCAATTTCAAGAACAGCCATGCTTAACAACCAGCTGTCAAAGTTCCTGGAGATTTAACAGTCTGTTGTTGTGAGCTTACATACCACGGCACTGGTCTCTGAAACTAATTATGCAAGTTTGTGCGTCAGTTAACCTCTGAATTTCCTACCTATAAAATGGGGCAAATATCTCCCTGGTTCTAACCAAACAGGAATGAGAAAGCACGCACATTGCCTAGCACACTGTGAGTCTGGGGAAGGCCACCCACAGCGCCCCCCCCAGCCCCCGCCACACACATATTTGTCTTAGAATGAGCTTTTGATGCTTGATCTCCACTTGGCACAGAGTCTTCCGTCATACAACCCCAGGGAGAAATTCTCCTCCTTGTAGCAGGTTGTTTCCCACTCTGGGAAGCTGACCAGTTCAGCTATTCCTTCTCAGACTTCCTAAGCACATACCTGTTTCTCTTGCCAAGATACTATTATACTGATTTCTCTCTTTATATTTGGAATCTGCTCAGTTTTGAGCACTAACTTTTAAGCTTCTTGAGGGAAGAGTGCGATTTGTACTCTTCTGGCTCCTGGTTATCCTGCATATAATTGGATTCAATAAATTTTTGCTACTGATGATTTCTGACTTTCTCTTAAAGGTTACATTTGATTGTGTAAACTCAATTATTGAACCTTATAGAATGGCTCTAGTCTTCCTTACATATAAAATAGCTGTCCCCTACCCTTCCCACCAGTTCCCCAAGCCCTGGCCCCAGGCCCCTTTCCTAGTAACCTACTTGATCAACTGTGATATCTAGGGTGGTTTCAAAATAATGAGTCTGCATGTAATGTATATTTTAATTAAGTTGGCTATACTCTTCCCACTTTTCCTTTAGGTACTAGAAGATGGGCGTTTGGTAAACAAGCATGGATCATCTGAGCCTGTCCTAACAGTGTCACATATGCCTTAGTCTTCTCTTCACTAATCTTCAACTAGTGATGCACTATAAATTGTAACAAGCCATTCTCTAAGGGAGAAGCAAAGCTCTGATGTGTGGCATTTGCCAATTATCATGGTGTAAATACTCTCACCGCGATCAATTTCAAGAACAGCCATGCTTAACAACCAGCTGTCAAAGTTCCTGGAGATTTAACAGTCTGTTGTTGTGAGCTTACATACCACGGCACTGGTCTCTGAAACTAATTATGCAAGTTTGTGCGTCAGTTAACCTCTGAATTTCCTACCTATAAAATGGGGCAAATATCTCACTGGTTCTAACCAAACAGGAATGAGAAAGCACGCACATTGCCTAGCACACTGTGAGTCTGGGGAAGGCCACCCACAGCGCCCCCCCAGTCCCCGCCACACACATATTTGTCTTAGAATGAGCTTTTGATGCTTGATCTCCACTTGGCACAGAGTCTTCCGTCATACAACCCCAGGGAGAAATTCTCCTCCTTGTAGCAGGTTGTTTCCCACTCTGGGAAGCTGACCAGTTCAGCTATTCCTTCTCAGACTTCCTAAGCACATACCTGTTTCTCTTGCCAAGATACTATTATACTGATTTCTCTCTTTATATTTGGAATCTGCTCAGTTTTGAGCACTAACTTTTAAGCTTCTTGAGGGAAGAGTGCGATTTGTACTCTTCTGGCTCCTGGTTATCCTGCATATAATTGGATTCAATAAATTTTTGCTACTGATGATTTCTGACTTTCTCTTAAAGGTTACATTTGATTGTGTAAACTCAATTATTGAACCTTATAGAATGGCTCTAGTCTTCCTTACATATAAAATAGCTGTCCCCTACCCTTCCCACCAGTTCCCCAAGCCCTGGCCCCAGGCCCCTTTCCTAGTAACCTACTTGATCAACTGTGATATCTAGGGTGGTTTCAAAATCATGAGTCTGCATGTAATGTATATTTTAATTAAGTTGGCTATACTCTTCCCACTTTTCCTTTAGGTACTAGAAGATGGGCGTTTGGTAAACAAGCATGGATCATCTGAGCCTGTCCTAACAGTGTCACTCTTTGGGAGATGGTACACCAAGGATGCACATTCCATCTCAGGCGGGACCAGCAACTCAGCAACAACGTACCTGATGATACCCACATTATTAATGATCATAACCTTGCAGTATACTGTGATGGCGTAGAACATCACTTTATCATAGTCATTGATTCATCTCAGATTTACTAAGAAATATTGAATGACTAGCTCACTAGTATAGACCAATTATTTCCAAATATTTTTTCCTCAACAAAATAATCAAGGATTATTTTTAAGGGGTACAGGAATTTTGCCTCTTTTTTTGCCTATGCTGAAATATCACAGTATGGTATAATGGTATGATTGATGTTTGGGCCAGATAGACGAGGATCAAATCCTGGCTCCAGCCTTATCTGCCGTATAACATTGTGTCTACTTATGTGTGTGTTAGCAGGAGCAGAGTGAAGAGATTCAGGGACATTTTAAATGCAGTGACGGCCTTGAAAGAGAGCAGTAATGATGGGAATGAGGGGAACTGAGACTTATGACTGAATTCCATTTGACATTAAAGACAACTTGAATTCATTGTTTTCTGTGCTAATGATTGTGGGGGGATTTGCTTTCTAATCAGATGGAAACAAACTCATCAGAATTCCATTGGGAACGTAAACTCCAATGTTTAAGTTTATCTTAACAAAACAAGTTGTTTTGAGATGTTCTAGAAAAACTAACACCTAGTCCAGTTTCTTGGGTAGTCATAGCTCCAAATAGTCCTACTTAATGGCTGTGGTATAATTTAACAGTCACAAATACCATAACACAGAGACCAAGAATGTTAACAGTAACACTGTTTTCAACATTGAGTAGTCTGTTTTTAGTGATGGGGAATGTACATGTATGTAATATTCCAAAATCATCAAAACTGTATGCTCTTTTATCTTTTCATAAAATATAGCACATTTCAGATTTGTCAATTTTGCTTGAGGAAGTTAGACATTATGCAATGGTTTTGTGGCCTGTTTTATGATGCATGCGCAATCATATCTCACTTTCAGAAGTTTCAGTGTTGACCGGTAGTCAGCCTCTGAAGTTAAACTCACTGGTTTGAGAAAGATATAAACAAGGATTTCCTCACAGATTCTAAGGGACAGTGCTTCCCCTGATTCACATTTAGAGTTGTCAGCTATACTAGAATTCATTAAAAGCAAAAGCAAGAAGGAAAAACAAATAGCACCAGTCCCCAGGAAAACTAAGAGTACTTGACTGTAAAATTGTTTGCATTACAATGTCGCATCAGTGGTTTTCACACGCACATTTTATTTACCAAACAACTTAAGTGTAGTTTCATTTGGCCTTGATTCAGGGAAATGCACCTGAAGGAGTAGCTCTTAATTTCTAAAGAATCTAAGGTCAGAGTCCAGTTTCTTTGATAAACATCTTTCTGTCTCACCTTAAAATCTCATGTTCGTTCTTGAGTCTCCTGTGGTTCTGGAGGGAATAACCAAGGTACTGGTTTCCACTCATCCTTTTTTCCTGAAATGCTCTGTTACAGAGAGCAAGGTTCCAGTTTCTCTCTTCAGCTTCCGCTTCCCCTCAGCGCTCACCCTCCGTCTTTTGTCCCTTCATTCAGACAGCATTTGTTGATTTCATACTATGTTCCAGGTACCAAGTACTGTGACATGGTCTATATATTCTCTCTGATCTCTTTGCCACTCTGTGACTTTGCCCCAGTGACCTTATACAATCTAGTCCAGTAATTTCTAATATATATTCACAGCCTTCTCTGCAACGATCATTACCTCTACTTTCTGCCTTTTTTAGTCCATCTTTGCATTTTGACCCATTGTCACGGTGTCAGCTCTTTCATCTACATGAGTGATTTCCAGTGGTAATTTTTTTTTTTCCTGTTTTGACCTCTTTTTAAAAGTCCGTTCACATTCTCTAACTCCATTCTGACCGTATCTCCTAGGTATTTCATAGATAAGTGTTATGAAAAAAATCTTAGAGCTGAGGACTGCTTATGTAAATTTGGTCATACCACGCACACACATACACACACAAACACACAGGCACACACAGATACCTCTAACAAAGTCATTCTTGGAAAGATACTTGGATATGAAAACAGTAACAACTGTGAAGAGGATTCCTCTAGTTACAGGATCTGGAGACATGAAGTAGTATTTGGAGGAGGAAAGAAGATATTTTGACAATCTTCCCAGAGAATTTCCAGACACCTTGAAGATAAAAGGAGAAAAATAGTAGGGATAAACTGAGTGATATTAACTTACTTGTCCTCAAGAGACTTGTGACATCTCATATAAATATGAGTTGAATAACCCTGGTGATAGCTTTGATCAACTGTAAGACTTATAAGCCCTTGCTCCCCTGCTCCTCTTATGAACCTTTTGTTTTTTTAATCTCAGATATTAATTAAAAAGAAAATACCCTTCAGTTACTCCTGTCAAACTCTTGAAATTCGGTCTGCTGGCTGGAGACTCAGAAATTCTTATACTTAGATCATTTTATACTATGATTCTAATCTTTTAAATAAAGAAATATCAAATGATGAAAACATTCTAGGATATTGATAATTTTGAGTTTTTCATAATGCTGTTTAAAGATTAGCTTTCTAAGAGTCCGATTTTTTTTAACCCTTCATGAATAAAGAGAAAAGAAACCAAAAAAGAGGCCAGTATTCTTTTTTTATGATAAAGAATATAACAGTTTATATATCTTCTAGAATCAGAAGGTCAAATTTGAAAACAGTTACCCAGGATGACTAATGAGCCAAAAAGCTTTGTAAGTTAAGGGCAGGTATAACAGACTTATAAAATATTTGAATTCCAGAGGGCTAAAATGGGTGTTTTCACAGACAATTTATAAGGACTCTCACATAGTTACCATAGGACAGAAATTTAATGTTTTTGGCATCAGACCTCACATAAAACACAGTTCAGATGGCTTTATTGTTTTATTTTCATCGCCCACCCACCTGCATATAGTTTGCCCTTCTCTTATTTATAATTAGGAGATCCACTATAGCAACTTCAGGATTAAAAGTAAGGCTCCATTTGCTAGAATTCAAAAACACCAGAGAGTATAAATTTTAAGACTTAATTAAAAATATAAGGAATGGTAGATTTTAAAGCACAGAATATAAGGCCTAAAATAAATTATTTCTACAAGATTTTACATCTATTCTAAGTTCTTTCAAGCCTCAAGCATTGGTAAGTACTTGTAACACATCATGTTATAGAAATTATCACATTTTATATAATTAACACTGAAATGAGTTTCTCAGGGAAGAAATCATGCTTACTGTCCATAATGTATTTCTAACCTGTAGCGCAATGCCTGAAACAAAGCTGCTGAATGAACTGAAAAAAAAAAAAAAAAGTTAAATTACTAAGAACAGAGAGAATGGATGCCCAGAATGGATGTCCGTTTGTATTTGGGACATGATAATTCTGTAGATCCTACTGTATGAGATATACATCTTTCATTGGCCAGACCATACTTCCAATATGACCATATATGAATTCAGATTTACGTATCTGAGGGATGCATAGAACATATCAGTGAATTAGTGAGAGGACTGTCATTTGGACATGATGTAAAAGCAATTGCTTATTATCTACTCTTACTGGGAGACATCTAGTATAAATATGCTCTTGACCCATGAAAATAAAAATAGGAAGTGTGTAGCTGGAGGGTAGATGTATGCCTTACTAGTCAGTCTTAACTCATGCCTCATAGCTAGGAACATATTCATCAATTAAATACCTCAATCAAATCAAATAAATACTAATGTAAAAGAAAGAAATCCAAATATACTAGAAAAAATGATAAAGGGATAGTACAAGACATTAAGTGAAAGAATATGTACCGTCTGCCCAGTTTATGGAATAAGATGTTACAGAGTGGATACTTTTTGCATTTCCTTCCAAATGCATTCTTCTCCTTTCGTTTTCTGCTTTTATTAGAGGAAGTCATTATCCTAAGATTATTTTTGATCATTCTTACGACTTCTTGGCAGTTCATTACATATGCATAAAAGTATTTGAGTACTATTTTTCATCTTTTTAAACTTTGTATATATGGCACCAAATTACACATATTCTGCGTATTTCTTATTTTTGCATAAGTAATTATGAATTTAATCTATGCAAGTCAGCATCAGTTTACTTCATGCATTTTCATAGTGTCTGTTGTCCAATCACATTAGTGTGCTGGTTATTCAGCTATTGTCTCAGCTCCAAACCCACGGCTGTATTCTTCTTTGTGGGGATGAGATTGAGGGTCGGCAGACGCGTGTCTCCTTTTCCCCCCGGCTCCCTGGGAGGGTCTGCCAATAGAGGGCGCTAGAGGGACACCGCACAGCAGGCACGAGGCGCGGAGGGACTCCGGTTGGCCCACTTGCCGGTACTGCGCGCCTGCGCCTGGTGGCAGTCGTTTGTTCCAGCACGAGCTGGTTCTAGCTTTTAGTTCTGCTTTTTTTCCCCATACCCAGAACTGATGTCATTGCCCTCCTTCAAAAATAACAGCGGCAACCAATGTCTCCCTAAGAGATGAGTCCCAGCTCTGTCGGGGCCCTCCCTGGGGAGCTGGCTTCTTACACCAGCTGGAGAGCGCCCCACACTAGGGGTCTGAGCCTCAGCTCCACAGGCTTCCCCGGAAAGCTTCTAGCTCCTACTCCTTCCTTTTCCTTTTGTTCGTGAATGCCAAGAATGGCAGTTACTGCCTGTGTTACCTCTGTGTTCCTTTTTGTCCAGTCATCAAATACCTGTGTAACCAAATCCCTACATTAAATTCTCCTAAAATAACTGGTGCAGAGGCTGTTTTCTTGGTTGCATCTTGTCTGATACAGCAGATAAGACAATATTCATTTGTCTTCTTTCCTACTGATGAGTATGGTGGGCTTGGCAAACCTGCTGCCCTGAAATCTTGGCTAAGTTTGCTAATGTGCGTATGTGCTAAGTCGCTTCAGTCGTGTCCGACTCTTTGCGTCCCCTTGGACTGTAGCCCGCCAGGCTCCTCTGTTCATGGGATTCTCCAGGCAAGAATATTGGAGAACGGTGCCGTGCCCTCCTCCAGGGGATCTTCTCCGAGTCTCATTACGTCTCCTGCACGGGCAGGTGGGTGGGTTCTTAACTACCGATGCCCCCTGGGATAATGTAGTAAAGGACAAAACGTGGACGCAGTCAGTGATGATACAGTGGTCGTCCCAGGCATGTTCTCATTGGCCGCTCACCCAGACCTCAGTAAAGAAAGTAGCAGGCCCATCCTCTGGCTTCTTCTGAGCTGCCATGCTCTTCACTTACAGGAGGGCTGCTGAAACGATTAACTTTGGGCTCCCCCATGTGAGAGCACAGGCTTTGTGGCCACATATCTTTGACCTTGAGTATATGCTTTTGGGGACTTACGTGATTTCTCGGTGATGAACTGAGTCAAAAGGTAAGGTCAGCTGACTGAATCATCAGTCTCAACAGGCTTTGTCCCTACATTTTTTCTTTTTTTTTGTGGTTTTGCTTAGGTTTTTTACTTTGGGGATATAGACTTATTATACTTATCATTAATATTGTTTCAGCCATGAAATTAAAAGACGCTTACTCCTTGAAAGTTAGGGGTTGCAAAGAGTCAGACACGACTGAGTGACTGAACTGAACTGAATATTATTTCACATTATAAATAAAGGTTCTCTGATCATTCTTGTGGATGTCTCCCTGTGCCCCTTAAGAGGTCCAACAATGTTTTTTTAGATTCCTACAGCTGACTGTGAAGATCCTGTGTTGGATGGTGATAAGGAATAAAACAAAAGCTACTTTTCCAAGAATCAGTCTAGAAGAGGAGATAGAGCGTCATCTTTATCACTCATCATAATAATCAAATATTGAGCAAGTGGAATATGCCTCACACCTCACACTGTGTCATGCATTCAAGCATCTTATTTAACACATATGATGAAAGGTACAGAATGTAATGATGGATTAATTTTGCCTTGGGAGACAAGAGAGTTGTCAGCTACCAGCTGGGTAAGTCAATCATGACATTCTAGGCAGAGTTAGTCATGTCAGCAAAGATGAGGAAGAATGGCATGCTGCAAACAGAGACCAATATTTTGAGGCAGGGGAGCATAAAAGGAGGAAGAGAAAGGAGAGATAATGAAAACATATGAGGCCAGAAAGATAGGCAAGGATCAGATCATTGAAGAACAAATGAAGTCTGGACTTCATCCTGAAGCTAAAAGACCCATCAAGGAATTTTAGAGTATCATGATGAACTAAAATTACTAAAGTAATTTAAAAATTACTTTGCACTTTTTTATGTAGAATGGATAAGCAACAAAGTCCTACTGTAAAGCACAGAGAACTATATTCACTATCCTATAATAAAGCATAATGGAAAAGAATATGAAAAAGAGTGTATATATGTATGTAACTGAATCAATTTTCAGTACAGCAGTAATTAACACAACATTGTAAATCAACTATACTTCAATAAAAAATTACTTGCTAGTGGTTTGGAGGATGGAGAAGAAGGGAAAACCAGGAGATTGTGGGGAAAGAAAGTATTCTAAGAATGAGGTAACCAAGAAGGCAATGAAGTTGGGAATGAGAACTGACCAACTGATTTAGTAAAGGAGAGGTCAATGGTGACCTTAACAAGGTGATTAAGTCAGAGGCAAAATCCTGATGGGAGGGAAGGAATTAAGAGAGACACAACCATGTAAAAAAATTTGTTGTACAATGGAGCCAAAAAATGAGGCAGAAACTAGAAGGTGATGTCAGATCAAGAGAGGGTAGATTTTTTTTTTTTAGGGTAGGGGATACAACAGGATAATTAACCCAATAGACAAAGAAAAATTCATGATGGGGAGGAAGAGAGAATTTACAAAGCACTGTGTTTGGGATCTGGTGGACAAAGATAGGAAATGGACTTAGAGAGGGGCACAAGCAGTCATTAATAGTGAGAGGATAGGAGATGGTATGGAGATAGGCGATTGATAGGTATGGATGCTGGCAAGTGGACTGATGCTTTGTAGGAGCTTGTGGAAGTCTATTTAGTTGGATAAACAATCCTGGAGTTCAGGAAAGAAGTTTGAGCTAAAGATAGAGGCAGTAGTTATCAGTTCATAGAGGGAAGTTAAAGGTATGAAGTAGAAAAGGATCTGCTATAGGGGCTAGAATAAAGAATGGAAACTAACACTGTGGCTATTGACCATGAGTGCATTCAGAGTTCAGAGAAGTGAACAACAAAGGTGAGAGGTGAGAAACTTGAGTTGGAGGGGCAGGAGTTAGCGAGGAATCAATCCAGGATCAGAATGGTAGTATATGTATTAAAATATAAAAAGAAGGGTGGTCTTGGCTAAGACCAGGAAAGATAAAATGGGACAGAATGGGAGAATGCTGTAATTGCCTTGATTTGATATACACATGGGAAGCATTTTACTTAATGAAAGCAAGGGTTAAGAAAAGTTTACGGTTTGCAGTATCGATTGAAAGTTAGGTTACTAGGAGTGAAGTCAGAAGGGCTGATGGTGAGCCTGGTAGAGTAACGTTGGTCATAGAATCAGGTTTCTGACAATAAAAATGGAGAGCAGGTTTGTAATGGATGTTGGAACTAAAGACCTGGGGAAAGCCAACGAACTCTTAGAGACATTCTTCCAGGGGTCCTTCTCTATTTTAAAATTTTGTAACTTACATATTTATTAATAAAAGCATAATTATATTTATTTTAATACAGAACTTTAGATTCTAAATATCCTAATGCCATAATAATTTTGAACTGTCATTCAAGTTAGGTACTTGAATATTTAAGTTCAAACCTTGTTTAAAAAACTTGTATCCATAATCACTTCCTACTCCTCATATATATATATGAGGCAAGACATTACTAGCCATACCTGATAAAAAACTATCTGAAACATGTTTCTATTGATTTCAAAATAATAAAAAGTTTATATACTTTCTGGAATTAGGGAGTGTGAAGGGAAATTCCTTTGTTTCTTTTTGACTCTATTCAGAAAGTCAGGTCAAGCGAAGCAACAGGTAGAATTTCAACCTGACAAGAAAATAAGTTCCTTCTCATTATAAAGCAATTCATCTGTCTTATGTAATTCTAATACTCTTCTTGATTTTTTTTTTTCTGAAATGAATTTGCACCTGATTGATATTATTATTTCAGGACATAAAGTCACATGGAAACTCAGTAGGGGATCTGGGGAAATGAAGGCATATTCTGATAATGAAAAAAGGTTACTCCAATTACAGGGTTTACAATAGAACTGAAGCAACCAAAGAAACAAAAAAAGACACAAATATCCAAAACTCTCCAGTTTCCCTACCTCAGATGAAGCACAAGGAAAAAACCTCCTGAAGATTAGATTTTGAGTCATGTATAAGTATTCAGGGAAGAGGGCCTCCCTTGAAAAGTGAGCAGATCCCATAAAGATGAATAAATTGTATGCCCCCAAAGCCTAGCTCTTTGGTTTCTGCGCATAAACTTCACAGCATTGGCTGGGTTCCAGAGAGGACCAGAGACTCAGCCAGGTGGGCACTCACCATCCCTGACCATTTTGTCATCTATCTATGTTTTTACACAGTGTTCAGGTAAAGTTCCAATATTTCAGACTGCTCGGCAGGCTTTCCAAGAGAAACTGGCAACTGTGGTTGCTGCTGATAGCTTCTTATAGTGCAAACACTTAGGGCCACTGGTCATAAACATTGAGTTCCGTCATTAGCAAGTATGCAAATGCTCTCTCCTGTTATTTTGGGAGCTCTATTAAAACTGAGGCTTGCCTCAGACTCTGTTTTGTGTCTGTCATAGCTAACTATGTAAGTTTTCACAAATTGTTGCTATGATAGTTCCTACTACAATGATTCCGCATTGGTCCTATTAATGGAGATATTGAGCCATTTAATAAAATATTTTGATTGAAAATATTGAAATAGTTTCATAAAATATTTTATTAAAAGAAAAGAGTTCAACTCCAAGTGTGTTTTGGAATGGGGTGGACTCATCTGCTTGGCTCACTACTTCCAATTCTAGACTTGGTTAGATCTCTTAACAGTGCCAAGGGTAGCATCATGCACTAGAGTCAATCTGATCATGTACTTCTTGCACAATGTCCTTTCTCAACACTGTGTTGTAAAATCTATTCCTGAGATAGTATAAATAGTGGTAGCAGATGGGCAGGTCTTTAACATAAAAGCTCTTCCGGTGATACAAAGTACAAGAATCTATCTGAGCTACCAGGGAAGCCCTATACAAAGTACAAGAATCTGAGTTTAACAAAACACACTAAATTTTATCTATGATTATATTGTATTTTCCAAAATATGTGGTCATTTTGGTGCCCTTTGTCCTGAGAATTGGTGCACTGGACACTTTTCTTGCTGCAATGTTTGAGCATGCTGTTATATTACCAAACAGAACAGAAACACCCACGCTAAAAGAAGCAGCTTTGCTCCTGATGAACAAGAATATAGATGTTTTAGAGAAAGCACTTAAACTGGCAGCCAGGCAGGTATTGCCCCTGATACACTGGCTGGGATATTGGAAAGAAAATTTGAAACTTCATAAGACTGTGAGTGTTTCGAATTCAGTAGAATTTTTTTTGCTCCTACTTGTGCAGGGCGCACATATCATTGTGACCCCAGAAGATGGAATTTATGGCTGGGTCCTCACAAGGGAGACGATTTATCCCTATCTGGAGGATATCCCAGAACCTGAAGCAAACTGGATTCCATGTAGAGACCCCAGAGGTAAAGTCATTACCTTTTGACCTTTAAACAAAAAGTTGTGATATTGTAACATAGCAAATTCAGTAAGCTTGACTAGTATTGTTGCTGACAAACAGTCTGTGGCATTGGACTTTGACTTCTCTAATTCTTCATATTGTGCACCATCTGGCATGTCTCCTATTTGGTAAGTGATTTGTGATGATGTCTGGTTGGTTATTTATGGATGAATGATATGTGTACACACATTTCATAATAGATGTGATTAACTGGTTTTCAACAAAGTGAGAAAGTTGTGAAATCTAGGACTTATGTTCTCAGATGTAAGTAAGGGTTCACCCATGAATACATGCCTCCTTTGTAGGAATGGTAAAAAGATGAGTGCGTTTATGTTCCAAAAGGCTTTGATATTGGCATGCAATGTCATTGGTATGGTGAGTGGAAATTGCACAGGGCTCGAAAACAAGGTGTTTTTTCTGAGACTATATCCTACCACCTCTTGGCTGAGTGATGTGGGAAAGAAAACCTAAACTCTTGAAGTAAAATAGAGATGATATAATTTCCTTTCCTACTTCACTTTATAGAGTAGATGTATGTGTAGGGAATTTCCTGGTGGTCCAGTGATTAGGACTTTCAGCTTTCACTACCGAAGGTCTGACTGGGGCCCTCTGGGGCCTCCCCATCACTGATAGGGGAACTACGATTCCACAAGCCACGAAGCATGGCCAAATCCCACCCCCGACCTCACCCCACCCCCACAAAATGAATGTAAAGTGAAATAATACATAGAATCTATACAGTATGGTGCCCTCTTGAGTGTTAATTATTACTTTAAAAAAACCAAACTATTACTTTTTTTTTTTTAAAGGAGTTGCCTCTGAAATTTTGCTCTCTTGTCGTTCAAGAAAGTGTAGCAATTTTTCATAGCTGTAGTTTGAGCATAAATTTCTGAGAGAAAATCTGCATAAAATATAAGAAAGATTATGAAAATAAATCATTCTAGGTGTACTTACTTTTTAAAATAGATCATACATGATGGCAAAATCAATGCATTAAAAAGTTATTTAATGTGCTAATTTTAAATTTACAGGCATCTGCTTAAAGCTCTTATCAAGTGCACAAAAAGAGAAACTTCTTTAATAATTCTGACCATTTGAAATTAATTGGAAAGCCAAGTCCGATGTTGCAACATAAGAGCTCTTATATGTGAGTCAGGTCTCACCCTGGGATTTTCACCTTTGGAAAAATATTCTCAAAATGTTGCACAGTCTGTGTTTACAGTAACCATGTAATTATGACTCATTGCTTGCTTGTTTATGGGGCTTTTCCCAGAGCAGGAAGGACTCATTATTTGCAATAACTCAAGAGGCTTAGACTGAAATACACTCTGTTTGTCTGGACTGACAAAACTGACTTTCCTAAGGGAAAGATGTCCTAAAGCCTGATTAATTAGTCTCTGATGAACTATTTTAAGTAGGGAAAGTAGGTGACAGATGAAACTTTAATATTATTCAGTCTTGCAGACATTCAAATGGCAAGCCTTCAGTTCTGTGTTGTAGAAAGGAAAACTCCAATATTTAAGAAAATGCTAATATTGGTAAAGAAAGCCACCATTTCTTCCCTAGTCACACACATCTCTAAAAGGGATATTTCAAGTCCACATAGTCATCCTTGTGTATTTAAATACTATCATTTAGAACACTGACACATCTCATGCTTCCTGGAGCTTTCCCCATGGGGAACTAATAGGAAACATTAAAGTGCCCTAATTATCTAGCCAAAAAAAAGAAAACCAAAATAAGATATATAATTGTTTTATTAAGGCCTTCCTTAATGAATATGCATGTTGACAGTATCACTCTGTTTTTCCTGAAGGCAAGAGAAAAGAAATGGTCTGAAATAATAGTCACAAATCTGTCCTTTCTATTCAAAGATTAGTTCAACATCAATTGTAGGGGGCCTGAGAAACCATGGCGAGTCTGAATGGCCTCTACAAGCAATCAAGTCACCAGTGTCCCTGGGTGGTCTTCTTGTTGTTACAAAGTCCATAATGGCCATTATTTATTTATTGAGCACCTACTTGCTTCCTGAATCTGCACTTGGTACACTAAGCACATTGTCTCATTCAGTTTAAGTAGTTTACTTATTCATTTTTTAAAAAATATACATTTATTTTATTATTTTTATTTGTTTGGCTGTGCCAGGTCTTACTTGCAGCACATGTGATCTTCAATCTTCGTTGCAGCAGGCAGGATCTTTAGTTGGGGCATGTGGGATCTAGTCCCTTGACCAGGGATTGAACCCTGGGTGCCCACATCAGCAGTACATAATCTTAGCCACTACACCACCAGGGAAGTATCTCCCACTTTAAATATGAGGAAAAGAAGGGGGCTTAAGCTCTCACAATTGGTCATTAGCCTCGCTGGAATTCAAGTACGGCCATTTCCACTGAGTCATGCTAACAAAAAGGGCTCTGAGTGCCGGAAGCATCGTCTTCTACTTGAAATCTCCATGACTAGTAAATCCACTTCTTAGTGCATTCTAGTTGCAGAAATTTAGGTTTTCTTTTCCACTGAAATCTCTCATAACTTCTTTTGGTGTCCATACTGCCTCTGTAGCATGTTCAAATATGTGACTTATCTTCAAATTAGAGTCTTTTAAGTATTTGAAGCCAGCTGTAGTCTTACCCATTTACTCATTTCAACCCCTTTTTACTTCTAGGATAAACATCTCCAGTCTGGAAGGTTTGGGCATTACTTTGAAAAGCAATTTCATAGTGTGCATTTATCCCAAGGTTTCACACAAGGGGCCTCTAAGGTAGAAGGGAAGCTATTATGCTACCTTGACCTGTAAGGACACAGATAAAAGGATGAAATCTTTTTATTTCCTTTTCTTTTCCTTCCTTTTAAAAAATATTTCTAGTACCTAAAGCTGCATTTGTAGAGGATGACTGGCCTGGGACCAACTGTTTACTGCCTCCTAGTAGGAATGTGGCTTGCATTATGGAAAAGATTCTCTCCATTAGAAAAGTCCTTCATTTATCTTCCTGGGAGAACTTCATAAGAAAATCTGTTGCTTCTCTTCTTCCTCCTCTTCCTCTTCCATCCGTTCAGTGCTTTGGTCTTGCCCTGCTGTTGTGAATCTGGCAACTAGAACAGGTTAGTTTTCATAAAGAAGAAGATTGTATTGCATGCGTGAGCCCTCTGACTCTTTGCAACCCCGCGGACTGTAGCCCGCCAGCCTCCTCTGTCCATGGGATTCTCCAGGCAAGAATACTGGAGTGGACTGCTGTTTCCTACTCTATGGGATCTTCCTGATCCAGGGATCCAACCTGTGTCTCCTGCCTTGCAAGCAGATGCTTTATCACTGCATCACCTGGGAAGCCACTGTATTGCATATGAGCTTTTAAATCTTTGCTGTTGATTCTTAACCTAGAGTTGTTGTGTGTTATAAAGACAGGCAAATAAAGTATCAGTTTGGATGTTCAAAAATCATTAACACACTGTAAGTTTAAGGCAGTATTTATTGAATTAGGCTTGGCCGGACCCCTTTGCAACAAAAACTCAGCTGTCTGGCCAAGGACAACTCCATCTACATTGTGGCAAATATCGGGGACAAAAATCTGTTTAATGCCAGTGACCCTCAGTGTCCCCTTGATGGTCGTTACCAATACAACACTGATGTGGTGTTTAATTTTGAGGGCAGGCTTATGGCCCGCTATCATAAGGTGTGAATTGCTTGTGCCCTAGCTGATCTTGACTTATTTTTGTTTGTGATATCTAAATAGACTTGTCTGTTGAATGTTGGTGAGGAGACTCTTATAAACGCATTGCTTAATTATTACATTTAGTTGAAAAGGGGACTTAACTTAGACTTTTATATAAGGGTTCTGAATTTGAATTAGTCATAAAATAGAATCTGGCAGAATATTAAAGCAGATGTGCTAGCAGCCTGACAGGATTTTAATATTCTCTGAGAAAGATGGAGAAATTCTGTTTCATCACATGATATAATACTAGAGTAAGTTTTTTGACCCAGTTTGTTAGTGTTTGGTATTAAGCTTTAGTCATTCATTCCATTAGGATCTTTTTGATTGAAATGATAGAAAAACCCCAAACTGAAATTGATTTGAAACAACACCACAAGCAATGGAATGCCCTTGCTCAGGTACCTGAGAAAATATAAATCATAGAAAGGATAGGTCTAGTTTCTGACATGGTGTGTATCTTAATGCCTGGAAGATGTCAGCTATCCTCCCGGCTTGCTTGCTCTTTTTTTTATGGTGTGTTTTTTTATCCTCTCAGGCCATGCCATACTGCAGGCAAGATCTTAGTTCTCTGACTAGGGATCGAACCTATGTCCCTTGCATTGGGACTGTGGACCACTGGATCATCAGGGAAAGTCACCCTCTAGCTCTCTTAGTTCCTTGTAAAAAAGTTCCAACTTTCTCTTGGCTGACTATCCTTTCAGAAGCCGCATGGCTGCTGGTTACAAAGCACATATCCTAATAGGGACAAAATCCAGAGGAAGACTGAATTTCTCTTTCCTAAAAACCCCACAAAAACCTTATTATTCCTTCAGTCCACCTAGGGGCCACATGCCTCTCTTGAGTCAATCTCCTGGGAATGAAGGATGGGCTTCCACCGGAGCAGAGGACGGAAGAGTTTGGGAACCTCAGTGGTGGGGGTGGGATGGGATGTGGCCTGAGCACATATGCACACATCGGGCCAAATAAAAACCTGAGCAGAACATAAGGCTGCACTCTTGAACCCTGGGTAGATGGAGTTTGGGAGCAATAATCAAGCTGGAGAAAAATTTCTAATGGCTTACTAATTAACAAGGTTTAGCTATTACATTGCCCAAGTTCCAGTTTACTTCACCTCACTTATATAAACCTAGCCATACCATGGGGAGACATGACAACGTTTAGTTTATTAACACGTGTTAAACTTCACATGGGGGGTGATGTTAGTCCTTAAAGAATTGAGTGGAAAACCACCAGAAATTTGTGAGGTTCGAAATTTCAAGTGACTTTAATACAAATATTCATGTTTTAAATATCATTTGTAGATATGGTCTCATTGGTTGATTCATTGGTTGTGAGAAAATTTAAGTGTTTTGGGGGTTTTTGGTGGTCAGACCAGTGCGAGGGGGTGGGGTAAGATGGGGCGGGGCTGATGGGGGCGGGGTCGAGAGGGGGTGAGACCTCCCAGGGGCGGGGCTGTGGGAGGAGCGAGACCTTCACTAGAAAGGTAGGCTGGGGTCCTGGCCTCCAAGGTCATGGGCGGCTCTCAGAATGATGCCTGAGAGAGTGGCCTATGGAGCCGGGATATCGATCTAGTCCAGGGGACAAGCTGAGGTGCCTGTAAGAAAACTCACAAGACAGTGGTATACTGGGCATAATTTACACTAATTTATGTGTAATAGTTTTAAATATGCACACTAAAATACACTCAAGAAAAGACTTTGCAAATATTCATCACTTTTATTTGCCAGTTTTCTTACCAATCTTCCCCTTCTTTCCTTTTCATTAACAGTTCAATCTTTTTGCACCTGAAGTTCAGTTTGATTTTCCCAAGGATTCGGAACATGTGACTCCCAACACTCCCTTTGGGACACTGGGCATTTTCACTTGCTTTGACATTCTCTCTCAAGGCCCGGCTGCGGTGGTGGTGGAAGAGTTCCGGGTTGGCAGCACCCTCTGCCCCAAGGCCTGTACAAGACCCTGCCTCGCCTCTCAGTGTGGGCCCTTCCGTTCCCCCTTCCATTCAGCATGGGCCCGCGCCCTGCGAGGCAACCTGCTTGCTGCCGAACCCACACGAGATGCCCAAGACCAGTACTTCCTCTGCGTCCTGCCCCAAAGGGCAGCCACAGTCTTGGGATGCCTTCACTCTCAAGCCATGCATTGCTTTAATGATTCTTTTTTTTCCCAATTAATTAGTTAAATATATATTTATTTTGATTGGCCTGGGTCTTCCTTGCTGTGAGCAGGCTTTCTCTAGTTGCCGCCAGCTGGGGTTACCCTTCCCTGGGGCGCACAAGCTTCTCATTGCAGTGGATGCTCTTGTGGGGCGTGCGGGCTTCAGCAGTTGTGGTGCGTATGTTTAGTTGCTCGGAGGCATGTGGCATCTTCCCAGACCAGGGATCAAACCCATGTCCCCTGCTTTGCAGGTGGACTCTTACCCACTGTACCACCGGAAAAATTCCTTAATGATTTTTTAATTAACTTTAATGTCACAAAATTAATAAGACTATGGGTTTCTATACCAACATTATTTAAAGAACGTTATTCCTGGGAACGAAGAAGGAAGCAAAGAGTACATTGTCAATTTCACATGAGGGGAAATTGGACTTAGACAGAATTCAAGTCACATAAAAAAAGCAAAGGCAGAGTTAAAGAAAGTTGCATTCACCATCCATTAGTAATATTGAAATAAATCTCGCTGTTGGGGTGATAAAATCACTTTAGACTCAATCAGGTTTTCAGACTTTATCCTTTGAAAATCCATGTTTAAGGGAAGGCTCCTCTCTCGATTGTTTTGTTTGTTGATACAGGTGAAGAATTTCAAACACAAATAAATTAGATAGGTTGGTGGATACTTAAAATTGCTCTTCATGTCTGAGAAACTTTTTGGTTTGTTGTCAAGTTGGCTAAAGAAAGGGGAGTGTAAGTTAAAAAAATAAAAAAAGTCATCCAAGTCAAATGATAGTTTCAGTGTAAGCAGATTCTTATGGAAGACATAGATTCAAATTGAACTCAGGTCAGTGTAATAGGTATTTCCTTCCTTATCTTGAAAATGCTTATGCTTTCTTAACTTTATATTTCATTTCTTATGAAATGATTCTATTAGTTTGTGACCATGCAAAATTTGAAACCAGTATTCGTGTTTCTTCATGTAACCCATAGGCAGTGAAATCTACACACTGGAGGCTCTCAAGGTGTATCATTAGAACCTGGAAAGAGAGACAGAGAGTGGCCAGCTGATGCTCTCAGAATCGAAGTCTCGACCTCAACGACAACCCAGTTACCCTGCAGCTGTTGACTGGAGTTCTTACGCTAGAGGTGTCAAGCCATTCTCATTTGAGCAGTTGAATTTTCCAGAGATGATTTATTTTGATGAGTTCACCTTCACCAAGCTTAAGAGAAACACAGGAAATTACACAGTTTGACAGAAAGACCTGTGCTGTCACTTAAGTTTTGGGATGTCTGAGAAACGAACTGATGAAGTGTATGCACGCGGTGCCTTTGATGGATTGCACGCGATAGAAGGCCAATATTTCTTACAGGTAGAAACACTCAAGTATGTAAGAATGACTTTGTTACTCGTTTGTCTTCTAGGTCATCATTGCATTTCTTTAAGAATTGTGCTGGATTCAGTTAATTGGAATAGTGTTACATTTGTCATTGAACTTTCCTCCCTAGAATACTTTGCTTAGTCTTGGCAAGAACAGAATTAGAGCTGCAAGGTAAAAACATAAAACAGATTGATTAGTTCTCAGCAGGCAGGGTTAAAGTTTAAAAATCCCCATGTATTTTCTTTTTCTGTCAGGTTTCTTTAGGGCTGTGTTTTGCAAACTCTTTTCAACTAGAATGCAGAGTAAGAAGTCCATTGCACATCATAACCCAGTGCCATCAAGATGTATCTCAAAGAGATACTTAGTGAAACAAACATTTTATAAAATAATTCAAACCAAAATTAGACATAGCTATAATTATATCCAACATAGTCTAATTTTGAAAATTCTAGTCTACTCCATTGGAGAAGGAAATGGCAACCCACTCCAGTACTCTTGCCTGGAAAATCCCATGGATGGAGGAGCCTGGTAGGCTGCAGTCCATGGGGTCGTGAAGAGTTGGACATGACTGAGAGACTTCACTTTCACTTTTCACTTTCATGCATTAGAGAAGGAAATGGCAACCCACTCCAGTATTCTTGCCTGGAGAATCCCAGGGACGGGGGAGCCTGGTGGGCTGCTGTCTATGGGATCACACAGAGTCGGACACGACTGAAGCGACTTAGCTGCAGTCTACTCCATTTTGCTGCACTGAAAGAAGAGGGCTAATCTTGACTCACTAAATTAATTTTAGGGTTGGCTAACAGATTATGAGCTGCAATTGGGGAAGAAAGGGCTTAAGAGGCAAGCTAAAAATATTGCTCTATTCTTTTGAATTGAACAGATGGAGTAGATTGGCATAATGAAAATTTGAAATAATGAGACAGCATTGTAACACTGAGGTTCACCTTATGTAAACAGCTTATACAAAGACACTATGATATGAAGACAAGTTGTAGTTCTAGACTGTCTTTAGGCTGTGATGGAGAATTGGGGATCTTATTTTTTTACATAAATGTGATTTTGAGAATCAAAGGAACAAGATTATGGAGGAATTAAAATAAAAATATTGATTGCCAAAGATAGCCAGCAGCTAATGTTTTCTTTATTTGCAAAGATCACCACGGCAGTAGATTTATTTACTGCATGTTCATCCAAGGTCCTTCTGATATTACTACATACGTAGATCTGAAACAGGGAGCTTCTGATTCCAAAGTTTGTGGGCTTTTGACTACTTCATGCTGCTTTTAGAGTGACATTGTCAGAGAAGGCCTCTGGACCAGAAACCAAATCTGCACTGAAGCTAATCCTTTGCTTTCTTGGATTAGGTTTCAAGAGATGGATGTCTGCAGAGCCCCTTTGCCTATCTTGGTTCTAGCCCTTTATGGAAGAGTGTTTGAGAGGGGTCCTCCATGCTTAGGGAAGGGCTCTGGGTAACTACAGTGATCCTCATTCACTGCCATCCTTTCAGGATTAGCCTGGCAAAGAGGGGGGAAAAAGAGAGAGCCCACATATCTGTTTAGAAGATGTGTCATGACTTTGCTGAAACAGCCAACTTAAGAAGACTTAAAAAGAAATGGATGAGTGCGCACGTTTTGCATACTCACTCTGGGAGTTGCGGTCATCTTCTGTGTGGGTGCACGTAAGTATCTGTTACTAAATCCAAGTATGGTGCAACTTGTGTCTATGGGAGGAGAGCTATGAAGAGTCTTTGTGTGGTAACTGCTCTAACATATGCAAATACTGCATCTCTCATTTGTAAATGCACAGGGTTAGTGTGGAGAATGTGGAGGGTATTTGGTCCTGGTCAGTTAGGATACAGAAAGTTAAAAACACAGATATCTTTTAAATAACTTTTTAACAAGTTGCAATTCTCCCATTGTCTCTCTATTCTACTTTTATGGAATATTTGTATGGGAGTTAGATACTTGTGAATGGAAATTTAAAAAGATAAATGAATAAATGGTCTACTTCAGAACACACAGTGTTTCCTTCTGAAAGTATTGTCTTAGAATGTACCCAATCCTGGTTAAACACTCTCATCCTCTGGAATTTGTTGGAGCCTGTGCTAGACAGGATCTTCTCTAGAAAAGGCCACCCTGTCACCTTTTTCCCAGTTACCTTCGGCCTCTTGACCCTGGCATCCTGAGTCCTTCTCCTGGTTGGTCACTTATTAACTCTGGGAAGAGATACATGTATATGAGAGAAGAGGAGCTCTCTAGGATGTGTGGGAGAGCCTGAGGACCACTCTGAGTTTGGGGACATGTTTCCCTTCCCCTAAAAGATATGACAACTGCTTTTCTAGATTTTTCCCAACTGTTTATTTCCACTTGATTTGATTCAATCCAGTTCCAGGAAGCTGGAGCCATTCTAGGCAGCAGAAAATGCCTTTGGTTTCTCTGCTTCCATCATACCTGGAATCTCTCTCCAGGGGCTAGGATGGAACCTGTGCTCTGGACTCCTCCGTTTGTGCAGGATGGAGGCTTCTTCCCCATGATGGCCTCGTGTTGGTTCTTTCTAGGCTTCTTCTTTCTCTTCTAGACAGTTGTTTGGAGCTTGCTTTAGTATCTAGTGGCCCCAGCTTCCTCACCACCCCTCACCCCATGCATCTTGTATAGCCAACCTCTGCCCCTTCTCTAGTCCCAGGAATGGCAGAATCACTGCATCCCATGGGTGTTCTCAGCTCTTACCGTGACTAAACAACCTAGTGTCCCTCTTTTTATATCCCATGTTGTTTTGGCCCTTATCTTTTAACATCCCATGTCTTTTATTTCTTTAAGCTCTATTTTTGTCTCTCCCCCTTCTCCTCCCTAATTCTCATTTTATTTACCATGACTCATTAATAAGGACCTTGCTAGACTCAACCCTCACAGCTGTGTCTTCCTCATTAAAATTTTTTCTTTGGAAAGTGAAGCCACTCTCCTGGCTTCAGCTACTGTTTCTGAGGCAGCAAAGTATATAATTCATTGGAAGGATAAAAAATTTTTTTCATGAGAGTTAGTTTAAGTCATATAATAATGATTAGAGACTATATTAAAAAAAAAAGCAAAAGGTGTATTAAGTCCTATGGTAAACATGTATAATCTTACAATATAAACAACTTTATCAATTAGATTAATGTCAATAGGAAATTGACAGTATTCTAGCCATTAAATATTAATATGTAGGTGAATATACTTAGAGGACTTCCCAAGTGATGCTAATGGTAAAGAATCTGTTTGCCAATGCAGGAGACACAAGAGATGTGGATTCAATCTCTGGGCCAGGAAGATCCCCTGGAGAAGGAAATGAAAACTCACTCTAGTATTCTTGCTTGTATAATCCCATGGACAGAAGAGCCTGGCAGGCTACAGTCCATAGGCTCACAGAGTCCCTGCAACTGGGTGATTGAGACCCATAGTATACTTAGAAACTGTAGAGAAACAGAGATCTAATCTTTTATCACACACACTAGAATTCTGACTCTAATACCACTTCTGATTACCAGCTATGATTCTGACACCTGATTTTGATGTGTGAATTTTTCCCCCACACCATCAAGAAATTTTCCAACACCAGCTGGGAGTCCAACAGTTCAATGCAATTCTGACCTCATCTAACTGCAGATGGCATTGGATGCCATAAGACTGCCTTCTCTGCATGTCAGACTCTGGTTGTGAACCCCGTTGTCTCCTGTCCTTCTGACCAGCTGGCTATAGATTAGAAGTTTCATGGACCTTCTCCTTAGGTTTGATGAGTTTCCCAGAGTGCTCACAGAACTCAGAGGAACAGTTTACTTACTTGATTATCAGTTTATGACAAAAGGGTGTTACTGAAGAACAGCCAGATGGAAGAGGTGCAGAAGGTGAGGGATGGGAGAGGGACTCTGAGCTTCCCTGTCCTCTGGAGCATGTGAGTCTTCCCACATGTCTTCCTGTTTACAAACCAGAAAGCTCTCTGAACCCCATCATGACATAGGTATAACTGAGTAAGCTATTGACCATAGCGTAGCTCCTCCTCCCTCTCTGGAGGTCAGGGGGATGGGACTGAAAGTTCCAAGCTTCTAAACCCTTGGCTGGTTCTCCTATCAACCAGCTCTCAGCCTTAGGTACTTTCCAAAAGTCACTTTATTAACAAAACAAAAGGCATCTTTATTTCTCTCATCACAAAAAATTCCAAGGATTTCAAACGCTCAGTGGAGGAAAAAATGTCACGTGTTAGTCGCTCAGTCACTTAGTCGCTTTGCAATCCCATGACCTGTTGCCTGCGATGCTCCTCTATGAGGATAAAGATCAAATATGTATTTCTTATTATAAGTCATGATATTGCACATCGAACATGTGTGCATAGGTATACATGCAGGTGTTCTCAGATGCTCATCTTATCTCATCCTCAATGTCGCCCTGTGAGATCAGCATTTTGTTGATCTTCCTTAAATTAGCTGAATCAGCTAAATCAACTAGATTAGCTGGGTCAACTGAAGAGGTCACTGATAAGGGAAATGAACTCCCCAAGGCCCCACAGCAAGCTAGTGGCAGTGCTGGGGCAAGAATTAGTCTAATCCCTTAAACCGCCGCATTCATCGTTTCCTTTGTGTAGCGGTAGACAGATACCTGTAGGCAGATAGGATAGGGGGGCCTCCCAGAGGAAAAGAATCAGACATGGCTTTCTTAACATGAGAGAAGCCAGTTTAGACCTAAGCCATTTTGTGATCTAAGCCTAGCCACAATGCTTGTCTTTGCAGAATAGGTCTCCATAGAAAATGATTTTAAAGGAACAAGAAAATTAAAGATTTTTTTTTTTAAAGGAACCTCTGAGGTCAAGCTGGGAGATTGGAATTGACATATATGCCCTGCTGCGTGTGCTGCTTGATAGCACTGGGAGGTCAGCTCAGAGCTCTGTGACGACCTCGGGGCTGGATGAAGCGGGGGTGGAAGGAAGTCCAAGATGGAGGGGAATATGTATGCATATGGCTACTTCAATTTACTTCATTGTATAGTACGAACTAACACAACATTGTAAAAGGATTATATTCCAATTAAAAAAATTAAAAAACAAACAGCTGTATCGAGGCCAGAAATATGACTTGACTGTCTTGGAGCCAATATATCAGTTGTAAAGACTTCCAGTTCAATTCTGAAGGTAAAGATCAGTCTGCAGCACATTCTTGAGCTGTTTTGTAGGATCCAAACACCTACTGAGGACTCACTCACCAACCACCAGGCTGACTGGAATCTAAGAAAAGATGATGACGCTCCTAACTTCAGCCAACTAGAGCCTGGAGTCTGCCAACCTTGGCCCCAAGTCTATGCTGAATTCTTCTTTGCTCAAGGCCCTTCATGAATACCAACGCACCCTTAGCGCAAACCTTCCCCCATTTTGCAATATCCTCGGTGTTCTAACTTGTTGCAAGTTTAAAAAAAATCCTTCCTTCCTCCCTTTGAGTTGATTATATCTTCTGGCTCAAGATATACACACCAAGAGGCAAATCCAGTTTTTAGGTAATATTAGGGATCAGAAATTTAACTGAGGCATCATAAGAGAGGCTATTGGTGTCACCAGTCCCAGTTTAAGCTGGTGGATGGGATGCTATTGCAAGAACAACAATCATCCACATAAGGATTTCTCCCAAATGGTCTGTGTCAGGTAGACTGGAATCTTGATGTAGTAATAAATGTGGGGAAGGGGAGGAGTTATCTAGCCCTCTGTCTATTAAATCTATTAATTTTTTGTTGTTCTTGCAGTAGAATTCCATCCATCAGCTTAAGTAGGGCTATTTAATAGCCCTATTAAATCTCTGTCTTGGAATAGGATTGTGTCCCTGGGCTGTGACCTTCATAAGTGTTTTTCAGCTGTTTTCTTTCCTCCTTTGGTTGGGACAGGCAGGTTAAAGGGGGTTAGAGATGGGATTTTACTGTCCCCCAGAAAGATTAGGCTCTAGTAAATCGTTTCCATTGAACACAGGTTTGGTTAAGAGAACAGAATGCTCTGGATGTATTTCAAAGTAGGTGCATTTTTCCTTCTCCTATAAGAAGCAGCACAGGATATTTTACTTCCTCATTATTCCCTCAGAGAACCTGGTTGGGCTTCTGGAGAAAAGTCAGAAAAATGTGAGGACCCTCCTAATATTGAAACCTCCTCCACACCTTCCCTCCCACTCCATGTTTATCTCATAAGCCTGTCCAGTAATTTGGCAAGCACAGCTGGAGTGATCATACCAGGACTGGCTGCCTGAATGGACTTCTACTCCAGGTAAGCCTGTCTCTCTAATTTTGGGGGTAGTGATGTGTGCTGACTTCAGTTTTCTGACATCTAAAAAAGTTGCTGCTTTTCAGTTGTTGTTGTTGTTGTTGTTTTTGGTTGAGAAAATGAGAGGACTTCGAAGCTCTTGTTACATCAAACTGGAAACACAATGGGAGATTCTTACTTAAATTTTATTTTATTTATTTATTTTTTCCATTTATTTTTATTAGTTGGAGGCTAATTACTTTACATCATTACAGTAGTTTTTGTCATACATTGAAATGAATTAGCCATGGATTTACATGTATTCCCCATCCCGGTCCCCCCTCCCACCTCCCTCTCCACCCGATCCCTCTGGGTCTTCCCAGTGCACCAGGCCCGAGCACTTGTCTCATGCACCCAACCTGGGCTGGTGATCTGTTTCACCCTAGATAATATACATGTTTCAATGCTGTTCTCTTGAAACATCCCACCCTCGCCTTCTCCCAGAGTCCACAAGTCTGTTCTATACATCTGAGTCTCTTTTTCTGTTTTGCATATAGGGTTATCGTTACCATCTTTCTAAATTCCATATATATGTGTTAGTATACTGTAATGGTCTTTATCTTTCTGGCTTACTTCGCTCTGTATAATGGGCTCCAGTTTCATCCATCTCATTAGAACTGATTCAAATGAATTCTTTTTAATGGCTGAGTAATATTCCATGGTGTATATGTACCACAGCTTCCTCATCCATTCGTCTGCTGATGGGCATCTAGGTTGCTTCCATGTCCTGGCTATTATAAACAGTGCTGCGATGAACATTGGGGTGCACGTGTCTCTTTCAGATCTGGTTTCCTCGGTGTGTATGCCCAGAAGTGGGATTGCTGGGTCATATGGCAGTTCTATTTCCAGCTTTTTAAGAAATCTCCACACTGTTTTCCATAGTGGCTGTACTAATTTGCATTCCCACCAACAGTGTAAGAGGGTTCCCTTTTCTCCACACCCTCTCCAGCATTTATTGCTTGTAGACTTTTGGATAGCAGCCATCCTGACTGGCGTGTAATGGTACCTCATTGTGGTTTTGATTTGCATTTCTCTGATAATGAGTGATGTTGAGCATCTTTTCATGTGTTTGTTAGCCATCTGTATGTCTTCCTTGGAGAAATGTCTGTTTAGTTCTTTGGCCCATTTTTTGATTGGGTCATTTATTTTTCTGGAGTTGAGCTGGAGGAGTTGCTTGTATATTTTTGAGATTAATCCTTTGTCTGTTGCTTCGTTTGCTATTATTTTCTCCCAATCTGAGGGCTGTCTTTTCACCTTGCTTATAGTTTCCTTTGTTGTGCAAAAGCTTTTAAGTTTCATTAGGTCCCATTTGTTTTTACTTAAATTTTAATTCTAATAAGATCAAAGAAGTATACTTTTTAAATCTCTAGGTGACTCATTCCAGTTTTAACTTTTCTTTCAGAGCTTCCTTTATAAATTCTTTTGGAATGATTGCAATCTCTTTGTGAAAAAAAATGGATAAACGCAAACCTCCATTAAATAGAGTTGGGAGAAGAAGGGGAAGTTCTTATGTCCCGCGACAAGAGCAGAGCAAGCAGGAAGAAGACCACTCTCTCCTTTCCTGGCAAGGATTTTTTGTGGCAAGAACTCAGTCAAGGAAAAATTAGGGACTTTTTGTTTACCCTAGTTCTCTCAACTTCCTTTTTCTCTATATAAAAGCATTCTCTTTCTCTTGCTCTGATCACCATGGTGGCAGATCCCGAATTGCAATTCTCTGCTGATCCTGAATAAACCCGTCTTTGCTGGAGAAATATCCCATAGTCTGTTTCGTACTTCCTTGTGAAGTACTGAAGTACGTGTATTTCTACCCACCTGGGAAGGGAAAACCCCAAGGAGATCGGCAAGCAGAGGGAGCTGGTATTTGCTACAGACTTAAGAGTACCTGATAAACACAACCTCTTGGCTGCTTTGGCAGTCACAGAATAAAGTTACAATAGTACTGAAGTTAAAAAAAAAATAATACATACTCTTCTGCAAACTGAACAATAGAAACACCATCCAAAGCGAAATCTAAAATTGAAACAAATAATCATAAGCACTAATTCTGTAAACATAAAGTTTTCCTTAATTCACAACTAAAATTTGCCTTCTAATTCCATACCAAAATTTCTAAGCTTTTTTCTATTTTACATTATTTTCCCCCTCTTCTCTCTCCCTCTATCACCTCTTCTTCTCCCTCTCATTCTTTATACTCACCCTCTATGACTTGCGTGGTTTGCAGTCTTTAAGATGGTCCAGAGTAATCTGTGCCTCATATATGCCCTTGGGTAAGTAAGCCCCTCCCAACAAATGTGCTGACTGGGTGGTTTTTGTTTTTTTTTTTTACATTTCTTTTTAATTAGAGGATAATTGCTTTGCAATATTGTGATGGTTTTTGCCATACATCAACGTGAATTGACCATAGGTATACATGTGTCCCCTCTTTCTTGAATCCCCTTCCCATCTCCTACCCCATCCCACCCCCCTAGCTTGTCACAGAGCACCAGTTTTGGGGTCCCTGCACCGTACTTTTAATGAATATAAAACAACACAATTGATGGGCTGCCCCTTTCTAGATGACATTACTAAAGACTGCGACTTCTATCTTGGATGGTGGGTTCTCTTGTGACCTGGGTTTGAGGGAAGCTGGATGCCAGCATGTGAGCTTCGTTTTAGTGCGGCCAGGGGCCGTCACAGCAAGGAACGCGTTGGGCCACAGCCAGTGTGGACCCGAGGCCTGCCTGGAGCCATGTGAGCCGAGAACTTAGAGCTGACTCTTTTCCCAGTCCAGCTTTGGTAACTGTGGGACAGAGGCACCCAGCCAAGCTGCCCTAGGTTTCCTCACCCACAGAAAATGTGAGATCATACAAGCTTGCTCTTAGAAGCCATTACTTTTGGGGGGTGATGTGTCATTTAGACAATGAATATTCCTCTTTGTCCTGAGTCTTCACCATTTTGAGGCAACGAAAGTGAACAAAATGTGAAATTCAAATATTCACAAGGTGATAGTAATAATAATTCACAATTGAAAAGCTGTTTATTCTTCAAGTTATATACATAAACTACTAGGTGTTGAAGTTCTAGCATGTATGAATTCCAGAAATTCATATGCTTAAGTTTTAACCCTCTGCACCTCAGGATGTGACTTTATTTGGAAATATGATCATTTCAGATGTAATCAGTTAAGATGATGTCATACTGGAGTAGGATGGGCACTAAAGCCATTGACTGGTGGCCTTGTAAAAAAAGTAAAAGTTTGGGTGACTCAGACGTGCCCACAGAGAGAATACTGGGTGAAGACACACACCCAGGGAGGAGACAGCTAAATACAAGGAAAGAGGCAGGAACAAATGTGTCCCTCACAGCCCTCAGGGGGAGCCAATTCGGCTAACCCCTTCCTCTGAAACTTCTATCCCCCAGAAATGCAAGACAATACATTTCTGGTGTTTAAACCACCTAGGGTATGGTAGTTTGTTATGGCAACCCTAGCAGATGGAAACGTACATGCATTTTCTTATTCGATCCTCACAGAGCCCTGTAAGAAGAGAAGGTCATTTGTTATGTAAGATATGTTTACATCTATGTCTGCAATGTAAAAATCACAAGGCTTTCTTAAAGCTAGCTTTTGTCATTTATTTTTAAAGTACTAAGTTCCAGGAGCCACGTGGCTCACTGTATTCTCTCTGTCTATAAATAACAGGGCTCACTCTGCTTCTCAGCAGCCGCTGGAACTGGACTGAAGCCGCTGGACTTCAGCATGACTGTGTCTCAGATGTTGAACTCTGTGGCCGTTTTGTTTTTCTGCGTCTGCAGAGTCAGCTCCCTGGATACCTTTATTGCAGCTGTTTATGAGCACGCAGTCATACTGCCTGATGCCTCCCCCGTGCCCGTGTCTCCTGAAGAGGCCTTGGCAGTAATGAACCGGAATTTGGATCTTCTGGAGGGAGCCGTGACGTCAGCATCAAAGCAGGTACCATTTCCCAAGTGTGCTCCTGGCTGCCATGTAGAGAAATGGTGGCGTCCCCGTAGATAGAATCGCTGTCAGGGTCAGTTACACTTTGGAATGACAGATGTCTCAGGGTAGCCGAGACCTTGTTTTGCAATCAAAGTCCTCCCCGCTCCCAGTTTTTAGGGCAAGGACACTATTACATGCTTCCCTAACAGTGAGAGCAACATTTAGAAAACACAACTTGGGTATTATTAAGTGACAACAGATCTTAGGGGAACTTGCTGTGAATTCAACTGTTTTGTTGATTTTGTTGCCCTTTTCTGTCACAGGTGGAGGGTTGGAGGATGAATGGGTCAGGAATCAGTAGTTATTCTTAGAGTACTGGTGTACTTTTGTGCTTTTCAGAGCTTGTAGGTTATTATGTTAGTTTGTAACACCAAAACTAACTTAAGTTGCAAATTACTTACCAGTGTGTATTATATACTTCATACTAATTACAAAAGTACATATGTTAGTGCTTAGTAAGTTCTTGAATTGAATGAAGGGTTAAGTCTGCATGTGTGGCTTGAATGAATGTGATTGAAATAAGCTATGTGTAAGAGCAGGTAAAGATGAGGGATATATAAAGTCTGATGAGAGTCATGAATGTATACATATAGCATGTATTTATCAACATACATTCTTGTACATACAAAGATTTAAAAGGTTACTAAGAATTCTGAGGGTTTTTTTTCACCTTTAGTTCAACTGCTTCCTTAAAGGCCACACACACACAGCAGCTTTCAAGGCGACTCTTCCACCAGAGTTGCCCAGGTGGGCTCAGGTTGTACCTCTAGGCCTGGCACCCTTCAGATACCCATGTCAGAGCTCCTTTCTGAGAAATGGGGATTGCATTTGTAGGGTATGAGGTGGGGAAGGCTGGAGCAGAAGAGTGAGTGATAAGTATCCTGACATACTCAGGCAAGATTGGCCAAAGGTCAGGGAGGGTGTTTATTCAGGGAAGAGTTAGGTTTATAGTTAACAACCACAGCAAGTAGCAAGCCTGTGAGTAGCCTGGAAAACTATTAGCAGCTATGAAACAATGAAAAAGTGACATAGAAATGATAACTGTGGGATTAGGAAATGAAAGTGGTTGGGCAAAGAAAATAAATTATAAATATATAAAAAACAGAAGAATAAGATGGAAAAAAAAAGCAAATTTTCTCAGCCATTCAGGTCCTCTTGCAGGCCGCCTCTTTGATTGTTCGCTTATTTGAAAAATATATTGATTCTGCTTCATTTGTAACAGGGTGCGCATATCATTGTGACCCCAGAAGATGGCATTTATGGTTTCAACTTCACCAGGGAATCTATCTACCCATACTTGGAGGATATCCCAGACCCTCAAGTGAACTGGATCCCTTGTAATAATCCTGACAGGTAAAGAAATGCATCATGGAGAATTTAACCATGAACATTAACTTTATCTGAGAAAACTTTGTAGATCATTGTATAAACTTCACTATCAGCTGTAAGTTTCATGATAGTTTTATAATTTTTCACCTCCTACAAATATGTGTATTAGGAACATGAATGTGAAGTTAGTGCTATAAGATGACATCAGAATCGAATTCCAATGTGAATTTCCACTGAGGGAAAGAATATGGAGAGATGATAGTGTAACTTACTTAGGGTCACAGGGTGTTTGGTTAGAGGAAGAACCATACCCAAACGCTACTCTTCTGACTCCTTACTGGTGAGCAGAAAATTGCTTTCCTGTGTAGGCCTGTACTTTTAAAACAGTGTAAGAAAATAGTGAAACAGTCACATGTCAGTTTAATATTAAAATTTTCCCTTTCTCATCAATAAGATAGTTGGATGGCATGAAAGTATATGAAATTCTTAAAGCTTAAGATGAGGACCTAGGAGGTGGATCAAGCAGAATTGTGTCAGTGGTTATTTTTTTTTTTTAATTTATATGGCTGTGCTGGAGCTTAGTTACTGCATGCGGGGTCAAGTTCTCTGACCAGGGATTGGACCTGGGCCCCTTGCATTGGGAACCCGGAGTCTTAGCCACTGGACCACCAGGGAAGCCCCATATAAGTGGTTTAAGTCAAATCTAGAATAAGAAATATGAAGTCTGATAAAACTACACTATTACTTATAATATAAGGAAAATATATGAACTATACATTTAAGAGAATCATGTCAGTTGACTCACATTTCCAAATGCACTATTGCTAAAATTGTAAGAATTCCTTTTTTGGAAAAGCTCTCAAAACCACACAAACTAACAACTGTGTCTGCATATAGGGACACCTTGATTTTTGACAAGGTTCAATATTATTTACCTTAATATTAACGAACTATTTTAATTTCATTTCATTGCAGCATAATTATTTCTTATTTAACCATGTCTTATGCTCAAGGTTCAGTTCTAAATGACAAGCCTTCCATTCTTACTTCCAATAGGAATTGCCTTTCTTTCTTTCTGAATGACCTTTCCCTAGAACCAAATTTCCTAGGGCCTATCAGAATTCCCACCAGGGTGTTGCATTTGTTCCAGTTCAAGAAGTCTGGTAGTCTTTCTTTTTTTCCATCAACCAGTAACATCTCTGTCCTTGCTTTTACTTAACAAAGTTTTTGAATACCTATTATGTCCAAGCACAGTTCTGGACAATGGAGTGAACAAAAAGAGCTAAAAAACTTTGTCCTTTGGAGCTTATATTCAAGTGTGAAAACAGTCAATTGAAATTTAAAAAAAAGATATTTGTTTAGTTATCTATCACCTGTCAACCTATCTACAGTATGGAGTAGAAATAAATATTGTAGGAAAAAAATAAAACAGGAGAGGTAAACATGGTGGAAAGTATGAGGTTTAAATTTTTATGTTGTCAGAGGGCTTCATGGTGGTATCTAAGCAAGACTTAAAGGAAGTGAGGGAGGAAGTCATATGGGTATCTGAGAAAAGAACCTTTCAGGCCAAGGGAATTCTAAACACCAAGGTTCCATGGTCAGAGTGCATGTCTGGCATATTAGGAACAGCAGCAAAGTTAGTGTGGATGAAATGATGTGAAGAAGTGGAAGAAAAGCAGGAGATGGAGGCAGAAAGGCAGGCAGCTTGCAGGGCCCTGATAGTATAAGGGTCCATGGGCCATACTAATGACTTAGGTACTTAGGTGAGAAAGCAGCCCCTGGTGAGTTTTGAGCAGAGAAGTGACATGCTCTGGCTTCAGTTTTATAAGGATCATTCCTGTGTCCTCATGGAGACAAGACTCCAGAAGGATCAGTAAAAATTCGGGAGATAGTTTAAAAGCTATGAAGGTAACCTAGGCAAAGAGATGCTGGTGTTAGGATGAAGACGGTAGAAGTCTGAAAAGGATTTTGAAGTGCACCAGCCCTGCTTTCCCCTGTGTCTCCCACCTTGTGCACGTGGACAGCTTTGCGTAGAATGCCTTTTCCCCAGATGCCCACGTGTCTAGCATGGTGTTTCCTATAGTGGCACATGCCTGTGCGCGCATCTTAAGTCGCTTCAGTCGCGTTCGACTCTGTGCAACCCTATGGACTGTAGTCTGCCAAGCTCCTCTGTCCTTGGGATTCTCCAGGCAAGAATACTGGAGTGGGTTACCGTGCCCTCCTCCAGGGGATCTTCCCAACCCAGGGATCAAACCTGTGTCTTCTGCGGTTCCCACATTGCAGGCAGAATCTTTGCCACTGGGCCACCAGGGATGCTTCTGTGTAGTGGTAGGACCCAATAAATATTTGCTGAATATTTCATGTGCACTTCTTAAAAGTTAGGAAAAGTTGTCTTCCATAACTGACAGTTTTTATTATATTTTGAGATTGAAATACACTTTAATTCTTCCATTTCACCTCCTTTTTCTGTTCCAGTAGACCTAGGACAGAGCTCTGCATTTATTAAGGGCTCAGAAAATATTATGGATTAAGTGAAAAACAGATTCAGGCTAACATAAGCAAAATGCATTTTTAAACTCCAAATCAAAACTTGTGGTCTTAACAAAGGGTTTGGGAGCCTTTCTGGGTATATAAAAGAGTTTGAACAATTAGTTTAGATGGAAATAGATTAGAACATATGGTACACTTTCAAAATAAATATAGACAAGAGGAAAATATGCAATCAGGGCTGTTTTGGAAATCCAGAACAGTAGAGTTCTATTTCATGTGCCTATTCTACCACTTAGAGTATTTGAAAAGATTTGAGATAAATGTGTTTCAAATGGTTTAATGTCTCATATTTATATCTGTGCATTTCAGATATTAATTTAAGCAAATGAAGGGAAATATTATTGAATAGTCATTTATATAGATACATTAAAATAATAATTTTTAAAAGATGTTTCCTATCCTTGTTGGTTTTTTCAAGGATATGTTTTATGGGTCATTGCTATGGTTTTGATTATATTGCCAGCAGATGGCACCAAATTTTCATTCTTCCAATAGTTATCACAGCTTTCTCAGATATTCTTCAATTACCTTCTATTAGCCATTTATTATTTCAGTGTTATGTCAATAAAGAATAAATATGGCTATATGTTATATACTTTGAGGTCTTACTGTTCAAAATTTTGTTTCAATTGCTTTAATGGGGCAACTACTGGTAACATGATAAGGAATAAAGAAATCAAGCATTAACAAATATTTCAGTATTTCTGTTTTTCCATATAGGCTGGCACTGCTCTAGTCCAACCCTTATTTCTTCTAAACCGAACTATGATAACAGCTTTCTAATGATTCCCCACATTTATACTCTGATATTCTAGTACATTCTATGTTCCGATGCCCTATTAATCTTGAATAAAATTCATATCATGTGACTTCTGTTCTCAAAACATTTAATGGTACCTCTTTGTCTATTACATTTGGAAAAGATTTCTTAACCTCTTGTGCAGAGCTCTTCTCCTGTGACCCAAAATGCATCTTTAAAGTTCCCTTTTTTCCCCTAAAGATGCTATTGCTCCAGAGAGAGTGGCTAGTTTCCTGAACAAGATTTCCCTTTCTACTGCCAAGGCTTTTTTCCCACTTAAAAAAAAAAGTGAGGTAAAATACACATTACATAAGATTTAGAACCTTAGCCATCCTTGAATGTAGTCAGTAGTATTAAGTACGTGCACGTTGTTGTGCAGCCATCGTGTCCTCCTTCTCCAGAACATCAAGCAAAACTCAACCTCTATACCCATTAGGCAGGAACTCTTCTTATGCAGTGCATACACTAAAAGTGGGACAAGACAGAGAAGACGAGTATCGTCCCCCAAGCAAGGATGCGTGAAAATCCCTGAAACATTTCATATTTTTGGAAATGAAAGGGGGGACTTGATAACCGATACCACAGGAACACAAGGGATCATAAGAAACTACTATGAACAATTATACACAACAAATTGGACAGCTTAGAAGAAATGGATGAAGTCCTAGAATTAGGTAGAAAAATGGGATTCCCAGTGCCACCTTCCCAGAATCATCTTACTTCCAAGATGTTGTTCTTTCATTCAGAATGTTTTTAATGCCATTTTTCTTTCAGGCATGGGTTCAGCAAACAGGAGATATGGGTCTTTGTCCCATCATATCTATAAGATGTGATATACATTATGAAGTGAAAGTCACTCAGTCGTGTCCGACTCTGCGACACCACAGGCTATAGCCCGCCAGGATCCTCTGTCCATGGAATTCTCCTGGCAAGAGTTCTGGAGTGGGTAGCCATTCACTTCTCCAGGGGATCTTCCTGACCCAGGGATCAAACCCAGCTCCCCTGCATTGCAAGCAAATCCTTTACCAGCTGTGTGACCAGGGAGGCCTAAGATGAGCATATAAATAAATATAACAATTACAGATGATGATAAATGCTGTGAAAAAAATACATAACCCAGAATCTCATGATAGAATAATTTTCTACAACCAAATTGCCACAAACATGTACTTCCTCTGAAGTTTCTTGTTTTAATCTTTCCCTTCTATCTATGCTATTTAGAATTTATTTTTGTGTCTACATATATATTCAAGAAACTAGCATTCTGAATTTTATTAAAAGCTAAGCTTTATTTTTGTTTCCTCTTCCAATGAATATATAACAGATTTGGCCATACCCCAGTGCAAGAGAGACTCAGCTGTCTGGCCAAGGACAACTCCATCTACATTGTGGCAAATATCGGGGACAAGAAGTCATGCAACGCCAGTGACCCTCAGTGTCCCCCTGACGGTCGTTACCAATACAATACTGATGTGGTGTTTGATTCTAAGGGAAAACTGGTGGCACGCTACCATAAGGTAGAATTTATTTGCAAATAATCCAGTTACTGAATGCTTAGTAAGATAAAGTGAACAAGAAGGGAAACAATCATTATTGCTGATAGTAAGCTCATTTTAGAAACAGAGTCTAAACAAAGCATAGAAAGTAGTGACTATTTGTGGCAAGGTTCTAGAAAAAGTATATTTCCTGTACATTTAGGAACACAGGAGTGTGTCATTAAAAGTGTGTGGGAGTCAGTAGGAGTGACCTGCCTTGAAATAAAATGTTGCCTTTTGGACTTTGTCCTTTTTTTTTTTTTAATGATGGGTGGTCATTTTCCTTTTTTAAAAAAGATAGTTATTTATTTATTTTTGACTGCACTGGGTCTTCGTTGCTGCGTGTGGGTTTTTTCCAGTTACGGTGAGTGGAGGTCACTCCTGCTGCAGTGTGCCGGCTTCTCATTGCAGTCGCTTCTAGAGCACTGGCTCCGGAGCTGTGGGGCATGGGCTTGGTTGCCCTGCGGCATGTGGAGTCTTCCTGGACCAGGGATTGAACCAGCAGAGAAGCCCTGCATCTTGTACTTTTAATGACATGACCTGGCAAAGGGTAAAGCTAGAATGAAAAACTTACCAGACAGTCTTATTTTCAAAGAGAAAAGGAGCAAACAAAGTTCTTTGTCTGCAGAAAATTGTTAAGTGCTCTTGGTAAATAGAAGCTATCATTTCACTTTTATGTCTTGTATAATAATATTCAAGAAGGTGTTAATAAATAAGGACTTTCTTAGACATATCTATCGAATGTGGAACCTGAGCCAAAGGTTCCTATCAGCATAATCATCTCTGATTCTCTAACGTTCTTTCCCTATGGAGACAGTGGTCGTAGATGAGGTTGGCACAGTTTAATAAATGTGTGCTTGAGCTTTTTTAGATGCCATGACATCTGGGCCAACTTTTTTAAAGAGATTTACCCCCTTCATCTTCTGTTTATTGCAGCAAAACCTTTTCTTGAATGAAGATCAATTCAATGCACCCAAGGAACCCGAGGTCGTGACTTTCAACACCACCTTTGGAAAGTTTGGCATTTTCACGTGCTTTGATATTCTCTTCCATGATCCTGCTGTGACTCTGGTGAGAGATTCCCGTGTGGACACCATACTCTTCCCAACAGCTTGGATGAATGTTTTGCCACATTTGTCAGCTATTGAATTCCACTCAGCTTGGGCGATGGGCATGAAAGTCAACTTCCTAGCATCCAATCTACATTACCCCTTGAAGAAAATGACAGGTAATGTGTAGCCTTTAAGATTTTGATGTAATCAAAAAGGAAAAAAATATTTTTTTCTAGCTAACATGTACTCCTTTACAAAATTTCTCCAGCTGTTAATGTTTGCATATCTAGCTGGTGACATGCTGTACAATCAATCTCAACCCAAATTATTTCATAAACTGGTTTAGTTTTATTCAACTTGAATATACACTCTCTATTTTTCAAAATTCACTACTTCTTACATGAAATCCTCTTCTTGGCTTCTTTGTGTCATACTTTACTGGATTTCACCTCATCTGTCTGACTTTATCAGCATATTTTACTGAAATTAATGAAAGATATAGCTTAGAAGAAGTAAAATGTTCATATGAGTTTAGAATAAGTATAACACCCATGCAACTCCTTTTTGTTTTCTGTTTTAAGCATCATTTCCAACTTGTCATTTCCAGGGAGTGGCATCTATGCACCTGATTCTCCACGAGCATTTCACTATGATATGAAGACAGAGAAGGGAAAACTCCTTCTTGCACAACTGGACTCCCACCCACAACCCACGCCAGTGGTGAATTGGACTTCCTATGCCAGTGGTGTGAAAGCCCACTCAATGGGAAACCAGGAATTTACAGGCATCGTTTTTTTTGATGAATTCAGCTTCCTGGAGCTCAAAGGAATTGGAGGAAATTACACAGTTTGCCAGAGAGATCTCTGTTGTCATCTAGGTTACAAGATGTCTGAGAAAAGATCAGATGAAGTTTATGCCCTGGGGGCATTTGATGGACTACACACTGTCGAAGGGAGCTATTACTTACAGGTGATGATTGTTTTGATGGCAGGGGAATTATTGGATAAAACACAGGACACCCAGTTAAACATGAATTTAAAAAAAAATGGATTACTTTTATTATGAGTATGTCCTACCTTGGTGTTTATGTGTATACTAAGAAAATTGGCTGTTTACTTAAAATTTCTCTTTAGTTGGGTATCCTAAATTTTTATTTGCTAAAACTTTTGATCTTAGATGTCAGTCCAATGCTTGCTTGTTTTGGCAAACATTTCCTGAATGCCAAACACATACCAGATATATATTTAGCACTAATGAGATGAAGATGAGTAGGCATGGACCCTCCTCTTGGGGAATTTCGTAGCAGAGAAAGACAGATGACCATAGTTTCAGCACAGGTTGGCATGTGATCGAACAAAGAAGGTGCATTTTGCTGTAAGAATAATAAAGAGCTACATTTAGTCTAATTTGGAGATCTGGGAAAGTTTCTGAAGACATGATGCTTGAGTTTATGCTGTTTTATCCAGGAGAAAAAAGTGGGAGGGAATTCAAGATAGGGTGAAGAGCCTGAGCAAGGGGATGGATGTGTCAAAAAGCAGGGTATACAGAAATGAACAAACAGCTGAGTCACTAAAGCGTTAGCATAGGAAGTGAGGATGGATGGAAAATGAGCATAGAGCCAGGATCACACCCTGCAGGACCTTACCTGTCATTCCTAAGATGTGGACTTTGTTCTATCAGTGATGGTTTCTGCCAGAAGGTGTTCAGCAAGGGAATGATGCTGTCACAACTGTTTATGAGTAAATCATTTTGGTTGCACTGTGGATCATAAAATGTAGGGCAAAATGACTAGCTGTATTACTAAAACAGTCCTACTAGGGCTTCAACCAAGATTATGTTCATATGAATAAAATCAGGATATGGAGTCAAGAAATATTTAGAAAACTAATCTTAGTAGCTGATTTGAGATGGAATAGGAAAACAGAATGAAGGGTCTAGAATGTACCAGGTTTCTGGCAAGAGTGGCTGGATGAATGGGAAGCTTTGACGGATCAGGATTCCAGAGGAAGAGCAAATTGGATGGTAGTGGGAGAAATGGTAAATTCAGCTTTGGATGTGTGGGCTTTTCATTACTTTGGGGATATTCAATTGTATCCAGTAGGCTATTGAATGTAATATGACACTTAAAGGAGATATTAGATTTAGATATACAGTTTTGAAAATCAGCAGGAAAAAAGTTGTGATAAACCCACAAGAAAGAGTGAATTGCAAAAGCTGACTAATGGTAAAGAATAGTGAGCTAAAGGTGGAATCTTTTGAAGCTCCTGTGTTTGGGCAGGAAATAAACAGAAGAATAGGAACCTGCAATTATGATTGAGAAATAAAGGAGCATTTAAAGAGAACTCTTATGAAAGGTAAGGTAAGTAGAGACTCTCAGAAGGAGGAAACTATGAAGTGTATTTGTGCAATAGGTTTACCATTGTTGCATGAATAATATATAATTTTGTTGGAATCTCCTGGGCTCAGGATGATAGAGTGAAAGACAGATTACAGTGGGTTGAAAAGTGAGAGGTAAGCGGGGATATTCGAAGAACGAGTGAATATTTCTTCTTCAAAAAGCGTATCTGATTCAGGAAGAAAGGAAACGAGATAGGAGCTAGACAGAGACTCATGGTAATGCTGTTTCTATTTTTCCAATAGATGAAAGAAACTTGAGTATCTTTATAGGCCTAAGAGAAAGAGTAACAAAAAAGGAAAGGATGAAAATGTGGGAGGAATCAATATTCCTTCTCAGAGCTCTGAGGTGCTAGAAGAAAGGGGAAAAAACTGCTATCAAGAACACAGGTAGAAAAAGTCCAATGATTGGAAATAAGTTTTAAAAATTATGTTGTAGAAGAGTATCTATTGCCACATGAATATTATCATATATTACATGGCATATTGACATATATTGCATTATATATGTGGTACATATGTATGGTATCTTATTGCCATACTGCTTTTTAAAATAAAAAAAGTGATATATTATTTTTTATTATTTGTGATCCACTTTTAAGTTTAAAGAAATGATTATAAAACAAGATAGCATTCTTTCAATTCTTCCTCTCTTTTCCCTCCTTCCCTCGCAGCCTTATCTGCCTCTCTGCCTGCCCCAGAGTCTTGACTCCACTTGAGGGGATCAGCGATAGGTCTCCTCTTAGTGTTGGGAGGTTGCTTACTGCTCCAAATAAATCCAAGACCCTCTCTGTTTTTATTGCCGGACAGTGATCCTTCAGCTAAGCCACTGGTGCCAGACAGGTTTCTAAATTTAAAATTCTAAATTTAGAAAATTTCTTCACGTGTATGATGACCCTTTTCTTGTTTTGTTTTGTTTTTTCAACTGAAACTGACTGAAAACTCTGAGCATGTAGTTGATAACTTGCCAACTTTAAGCTTCATTGGGGGACAGTCTAGCTGGGCTTTTTACTAGAAGAATCCCTGAGGCAAGTGTCTTTAGAGACTTCCTTTGGGGATGATTCAGTTTCCCATATTTCAAAATTCTTCTAATTCCCTTACTGAATAAGTTTGCTTAATTCAGCAAATAAAAATGCAGGGTGCCCCAGTAAATTCAAAATTCAGATAAATACAGATTAAAAACAAATATGTCCAGGTAATAGTTGGGACATATTTATATTAAAAACTGGTTTGGGTATTTTTAGTTTACATAAACTTAGGATTTAACTGGGATTCCTGTCCTGTAATGTATTAGGAAACCCTATTCCTGAAGGAAAAACACTGTTTTAACAGAATGTAGAGAGTCAGCAGCTGACTCATTGTAAAAGTCCCTGAAGCTGGGAAAGATTGAGGGCAGAAGGAGAAGAGGGTGTCAGAGGATGAGATGGCTAGATGGCATCACCAGTGCAATGGACCTGAACTTGGGCAAACTTAAGGAGATGGTGAAGGACAGAGAGGCCTGGCATGCTGCAGCCCATGGGGTCACAAAGAGTTGGAAATGACTGGGTGACTGAACAAGACAGTCAAGTTGGGGAAATGCAAGGCAGAAGGGCATGGTATCACTATTCAGCATGACTCATTCAAAAACTCTCCTTACTAAGTCTTTCAGAGTCTCCATCTAAACACTGTCTGCTTTACCCTCTCTGGAAATAAAGGTTCCATCTTTTACTGGAACTGGGGAAGGGTAGTTGCCCATCCGTGTCTGGGGACTCAGCATTGAGGCCCCCTTAACAACTTCTTACCAGTTTTCCTTTCATTAATCACCCCAACTTACTCTCAGTTACTGAAGTACCCAGTGCTCCCAGGGATGGAATCTTTTGAGTATTCTGCAGTGTGAAAGCAAAAATGAAAGTCACCCAGTCATGTCCAACTCCTTGTGACCTCATGGGTTGTAGCCCACCAGGCTCCTCTGTCCATGGAATTATCCAGGCAAGAAAACTGGAGTAGGTAACTATTCCCTTCTCCAAGGCATCTTCCTGACCCAGGGACCCAACCCGGGTCTCCTGCACTGCAGGCAGACTCTTTACCATCTGAACCACCAGGAAGCCCATTCTGCAATGTAGACATGCTAATTCAGGAGACTCTGTTTCGATACCTGGGTTGGGAAGCTCCCCTGGAGAAGGGTATGGCAACCCGCTCCAGTATTCTTGCCTGGGAAATCCCATGGACAGAAGAGACTGGCAGGCTACAGTCCATGGGATTGCAGAAGAGTTGGACACAATTTAGCAACAAAGCTTCCAAAGACTCCTTTGTATATTTGTACCATATCATTTTAATCCAATAATCTGTTGATAGGCATGTGGGTTGCTTCCTCAGTCACCATTTTTGTGTCAACACCCAAACTTCTAAACTTGTACTATAGTCTATCCTCCTCCTGTTCTCCTAATCTTGTGGGTTCAGATCTTCCACAATAATAATAATGTTTGTTTTAGTAGGATTGCAAGGGAACAAAATAGAAGCATGTATTCACTGTACCTTTATGTGAAAGTTGTTTGCATCCCATCTTGACATGCTTGCCCAAAAACACTTGCTCTCCAACTTCAAATGTGGAAGGAGGAAGACCAGTTAAGGGCCATGCTTTAGTCAGGCAATAAATGAAGGTGGCTTGGAGTAAAATTTTGAAGATGCAGTATAAATGGAGATAAGTGAAGAAGGTTCTTCCTTTTGGGGGCTTTGCATCCACATGGTGAGATGGTTCATACACTTAAATTTTCACACAGATAACTTTGTAATATAGTGTAGCATAGGGTAACTATGTAGGATAAGGAAAGCACTTTCAGCTCTTGCTCAGGTGTAGGGTATGTGATTCTTCCAGTTCACAAATTGTCTCTAGATCAACTCTAGAGTTCTCTACAACTTTAAAGTTCCTTCATTGTTACAAATAGATGATAAGATAGAAATTAAACCAGTGTCTAAACTTTTTAAAGATACTTGAACACTCTTGATTACTAAAAGCATGGCTAACTTGAAAACAATAAGGTATAATTGTTCATAGCTATAGACCAAGGACCTATTATTTCTTTATGTGGTTTAATCTTTTTACAGTGAATTGCAGAAATAGATATAAGAGATGCAGGTTTGATCCCTGAGTTAGCAAGATCCCTTGGAGGAAGGCACAGCCATCCACTCCAGTATTCCTGCTCGGAAAATCCCATGGACAGAGGAGCCTGATGGGCTATGGTCCATAGGGTCACAAAGAGTCGGACACGACTGAAGTGACTTGGCATGTACACAGAAAGCACTAGGGCCTGAAGTCTTTTTTTTTTTTTTTTCCCTAATTGCAGTAGTTTTCAGCAAGAAAGCAGATTAGTCTAATGAGGAAGCAATATAATAACAAACATTATAAACAAAAGGACAGACATTTTTTGCTAGATCAAGAGAGTGTTTCAGTTGGCTTTCCTGGCTTAACTGTTTTTAAACTTACTGTTCTGTTATTTTGTTCCTAGATTTGTACTCTGCTCAAGTGTAAAACAACAGACTTACACACTTGTGGTGACTCAGTTGAGACTGCTTCCACCAGGTTTGAAATGTTCTCTCTCAGTGGCACGTTCGGAACCCAGTATGTCTTTCCTGAGGTGTTGCTGAGTGAAATTCAGCTTGCACCCGGAGAATTTCAGGTACAAATCTTTGCTTAATATTGGTAAATCTTTTTATGTAAGAAGAAGCATCTTTCGAGTAGAAAACATGCCCAAGTGCTTGCAAATATCATGAAAGTCTTCATTTGGAGAGAGTAAAATTGGCCTTAGGGCTCATCGAGTACATGGAGCATATGGAACCTCTTGTCTAAAAGTCCTTTAGAGCAGCAGGCCCCAGTCTTTTTGGCACCAGGGACTGGTTTCATGGGAAACAGTTTTTCCACGGACCATCAGGGAGAATGGTTTTGGGATGCTACTGAACAACAACAAAAAAGCACATGACACTTACTGTGCACTTTATTTCTTTTATTGTTACGTCATTTCCACCTCATCATCAGGCATTAGATCCTGGAGGTTGGGGACCCCTATTTTAGAGTGTAAAGAAGTATATCTTACTGTGGGGACTTCAGGGAGTGGGCTGGACGGTTTAAGGACTGTCAGGTAGAAAGAAGACTAGAGAAGAATTGCAGGACCAGTCCTACCAGAGGAAGCCTCCTTGTTTAGGGAAGGGATGGCCTAGGACAGTTGAAAAGAATTCTTTTCGTGGTGTGTTCGAAGGCCCTGGGTGACCATCTAGAAAAGGAACGAAAGAAAAAAGAAGGAGAATTGGATAGCGGCTGACCTGGCAAGAAGCAACCCTTTTAAAAAGAATGCGCCAGAAATAATTTCTTCCTGCTGAACTGTTCTGTTCAGCCACATTCTCCCCCTGACTGCCTTCAGGTGCCAATCTTACTCCCCTTTCTTGGTCCAAACAGTTACTGTGGGGAGTTGAGGACAGTGGGTAGATAGGGAGGCTGTGATGAGTGAGTATGAGGGATGATACAAGCTCAGCTCAACCCCATCTTGGTCAAGCCCTCCTGATCCTTTGGAGGAGTCTTTCTTGCCTGAGAGAACAAGAGTTCTCTCATATATTCTCAAATGCATTGTTTTGTGTTTATTAACTCACGGAATGCCTTCTCAGATGAGTAAATTATAAGATGTAAAATACAGCCATTTCAGTAACTGCCAATTCTATAGCTCCAATTTTTCTCTGTACGTTTTCAAGTTTTTCAGATGGAGTAGAATATGGCCATTACTTTCATTGTTTCTTCATCCAGTTGTACTGAATTTTAAGAGTGTGTTCTGAGATTGTACAACCGAAAGTTATTCTCAGTCAGATTCCCTGTGTTTTAATTAGGTATCAAGTGACGGACGCTTGTTTAGCCTGAAGCCAACATCTGGACCTGTTCTGACGGTGACTCTCTTTGGAAGGTTATATGAGAAGGATAGTGCGCCAAATGCTTTATCAGACCTCACTGCACAAGCGCTAAGGGTAATGTTCATAGTTACAATACCTATTGTGTACTCATTAGATTGGTAGAATATTTACACTTTCTATCTTTACTTTGGATAATTTGGGAGGGGGGACCAGGATGGGGAATACCTGTAAATCCATGGCTGATTCGTTTCAATGTATGACAAAAACCACTGCAATGATGTAGAGTAATTGGCCTCCAACTAGTGGAAATAAATGGAAAAAATAAATTAAAAAAAAAAAAGTACAAGTCACAAAAAAAACCACAAAAATTTAAATTAAAATTTAAAAAAAATAATGAATATGAAAAGAAGAATGGATCTGGGATTTTGATAATAGTGCTCATGATCATTCATATGAATGAATTGCTAACACATTTTTTCTCTTGTTTAGAAACACACACATGCACACACACACACACACACCAGACAATATAAAGTAGATAAAGTGACAAAATTTTGAAAAAGAACAACAATTATACCCATCTGTTAGGTTTTTTTTTTTTAGTGAGAATTAAATAAGTTACTACAGTTAAAGTGCTTAGACAACTTCCCAGCTCATGGTAAGTATTGTATATATATTAACTTTTACAGCGATATGGGACTGTCACAGGAAAACCAATTGTGATGTATTTATTGCTAAAATCCTATCATCCCTAATTGTTCAAAGTGCATGCATTTTCTATTGGTTCAGCCACTCTGTATATTTTGATTAAAAAGTCAGTAAACTCAAAAGCCAATTGGGTGTGGCTTGATGACTAGCACTAATGTATCCTAGAGAGCAGCTGAGCTTACATCTAGAAATCTACTCAAGACCCTGAAGATTTTTTATGTGCTTTTCAGTGGTGATTGACTGCCTATTTAGAGCTTTGCCTGTCTTGTCAACCTGTAAGCAAATTAATAGGGTGACTAAAGTAGACGTTTATCAAATCTGGCTTCTTAATAGCCTGTGAGCTAAGAAAGGTTTTTAGGTTTATGAAGATTTGAAAAAGATAATTAAAAGAAGACTAATATTTTGTGACACATGAAAATCATTTGGAATTCAAATTTCAGTCTCCATACCTAAAGTATTATTGAAGAATGCCATGTTCATTTGTTCAGTAGTGTTGATGGTGTTTTTCATGCTGCAGTTGTGGAATTGAGTAGCTGTGATGGAGACTGTATAGACTAAATGGCCAAAGAAGCTGAAAATATTTACTACCTTTACAGAGAAGTATTGCCATCTCCTGCTCTAAAGTATTAAAGAACAATGCATCTTAGTATTGAAAACAAGTAAGGGCAAATTATCCTTGAGTGTCTTTCTTATTCTTCTACTCAAAGAGAAATAAAATATTTTCATTCACTTTCTGTTATATTAACATCACAAGAAGATTACCTTGATTAACTTACGACCAAATATGTCTAATAGGCTATTACCCCAAACAAGTGAATATAATTTTATAAACATGATTAATATTTAATCATTCTAAGATACCACATCATAGTCTTTTGTTGCATTTGGTATTTACTGACATTTTTGAAAGAAATAACATTTTTTATTTTATTTTTAATTAAAAAATTTTAATGAAAGTATAATTGCTTTACAATGTTGTGTTAGTCTCTAGTTTCTAGTTTTTAAATTTTCCTGGAGATCATTTAAGAACTGCTCATATTAATATACTATCTGATATTTTTTCCTGTGACAAATTTGCTACATTGTCTTAAAATGATTTTTTTTTTAAAAAATTAAACATTGCAGCAGTGGATTTACTCTAAAAAATGGCATTTACTACGTTCATACCCAGCTCTGGTTATTTTCACTCTGGATTTCTTTAATGCATATAGATTTTTTTAATGATAGTTTTGATGTGCTTTTTAACTGTAATTTTTATTTCTTCTTAAAGTAATTGTGATGCTCACTTGATACCAACAGCTCAATCCAAAGACAGAAGCATGGAAAAGTAAATAAGGTCCAACGTGAAACAATGCTGAATGGGAAGGAGGAAAGAAAAAAGCAGCGGAGGAAAACCATGAGGATTCTCCATAATCTAATAAAAATATGGCACTTTCTTTAAAAACTAAAAATGAAGGTTCTTAAAATGGATGATAATGCAAAAGACACATGTTCATTCATACATTCGCATGCACACACGCAGATACACCCCAATGACTATACTCTGAGGTCTTAGCACTTATGAAGGGGCACCTAGTTGGACACAGGTGCAGATTAAAATGTGAGTCAGTGTTGTTTGTACTTCTAGAAAACTGCTTATGAGAGAAAGGTTTGTTTGGGTATGGTGATCTCAAACAGGAAACACTATGGATCTCTTCAAAAGCCAACAATCAAAAATGCATCCTACAGGTAAATGAGCCTGCTTGCACTTGGAGGTCTGAGTCCTGCTCTACAGGCTCATGCTCCCCCAGCCTCCAGGCTCAGGCTCCCCCAGCCCCCAGGCTCATGCTCCCCCAGCCTCCAGGCTCATGCTCCCCCAGCCTCCAGGCTCATGCTCCCCCAGCCTCCAGGCTCATGCTCCCCCAGCCTCCAGGGTCAGGCTCCCCCAGCCTCCAGGCTCGTGCTCCCCCAGCCTCCAGGCTCGTGCTCCCCCAGCCCCCAGGCTCAGGCTCCCCCGACCTCCAGGCTCAGGTTCCCCCAGGCTCAGGCTCCCCCGACCTCCAGGCTCAGGCTCCCCCAGCCCCCAGGCTCAGGCTCCCCCGGCCCCCAGGCTCATGCTCCCCCGGCCTCCAGGCTCATGCTCCTCTGGCCTCCAGGCTCATGCTCCTCTGGCCTCCAGGCTCTTGCTCCCCCGGCCTCCAGGCTCAGGATCCCCCAGTCTCCAGGCTCAGGCTCCCCCTGTCTCCAGGCTCAGGCTCCTCTGGCCCCCAGGCTCAGGCTCCCCTAGCCCCCAGGCTCAGGCTCCCCCAGCCTCCAGGCTCAGGCTCCCCCGGCCCCCAGGCTCAGGCTCCCCCAGCCCCCAGGGTCATGCTCCCCCATCCCCAGGCATGGCAGGAGCTCTTGGCTTCTGTGCTGCTCTTTCTAGTCATAGTTCAGGACTTGGTAAATTTCAATGGCCAGGGTTAAAGACTTCATGAGCTTTCCTAACTGTGAACTGTGGTTTTGGCTCAACCTTAGAAAACTTAGATTTCCTACAAACAAACATTTCCTGGGCATGGATGCTGGAGAAAGCAAGAGCTCCCTGGTCTGGTTCATACCCCGTGGGGACATGAATGGTGTTAGGGTTAACGGGACTCCGTGTCTGGTGGCGTGCTGACAACAGTTGACCTGGACTGATGCGATTCTTCATGCAGGTTTGAGACAGGATGCTGGGTGAATAGAACCCAGATGCCAGAAGCAGGGTCTGGGCCAGCTAAGCAGCTGGCTGTAGCTCTGGAATGTGAAGGCTGTGATCACGAAGACACGTTCTAACTGCCGTGGAACACTGAGTGGAGGAACCAATGGACTGTTGCTCTCTTCATCCAACTCTTTGTCTTTTTCTTTATTCCTTACTAAATGCATCTTTGTGATGATGGGAGAGCTGCTTCAGTGGCTTAATGAAGCCAGTGGAGCTGGGGGAGAGTGATGAGTGTGGGCTTCAGGTAGGGACATTTTCTCCATCTCAATTCATTCTTTTTTTTCCATAAAAAAATCCCCCAAACTGTCAAAATGTTGCCATAGTATTTTTTTTCTCCCTTTACTGTAAGTATTCACTTTCAAATTGGTGGAGAAGATACTAAAGGAGAAAAGTTCCTTAGATCTAGGAATATAGCTGTATAAAAATTAAAAGAAATAAAAACATAAATAAAGCAGAACTTCTAGATTCCAAGAGTAGTCAGTCCTTGGAGAAGGTTCCAAATACATGTGGTCTATTCACTGTGATAAGGATATTCCCACGTTGTCTTGATCTCTGGTCTCCCCAAAAATTCAAAGTTGCAAAAAGGGAAAAAATATATGCAAAATAAAAATACCCCAGCAGGAATGCATGGCCCCTCATCCTTATTTTCTGGAGCCAGGGAATATCCCACCCCTCACACTCTCAAAGAATAGTCACTATATTCCAGCACTTAACAGCTCTTTAGCATCCATTGCATTGGGATACCCATGTGTAGTAGAACCAACAAGAATTGTGTTTATTTTTAAAATATTTCAGCTGTATTTTATTATTGCTGAGGACTGAACCACAATGACAATAAATTTCAAGCATGAACTTTTAAAAGATAAACTGAGGCATGTTAAACATTCTAAGAGTTAGTCTGAGCAAAAACAAGTTTGAATAGGGCAGCACCAAACCAAAAGTGGTTAGGAGAGTCCTCTGACGGGAGTTAGGGACAAGACTTTTATAGGAAAGATGGAGATCCAAAGCAAGAAATAATTTGATTGGCAATAGCTTAAGTAACTGGCTTATTTGCGAAAGTCTAGTGGGCTGTTTGTAATTGGTTGTACTTAGATTTTGATTTCTTAACTTTTAGGCATTTACAGGCTTAGGTTCTAATTTGCTCACATAGGTTTCTAAGGTATTAGAACCATCTAAGTCTAATGGTTTCCCTGTTTAAATTAACTTACTACTAAAAACGGGCACTTTCTCACATGAAACAATCCTTTAAATAAGCATTATTGCCTTCATTCTACAAGGTAACATTGAGGCTTGGAGAGGATAATATATTCAAAGTCAACCAAAAATAATTAGTTAAGATAATCTAAAACATCTAGCTCCTTTTGCCTCAAATATATGTGCCGTTGGCCCTTCATATCTGTGGTTAGTGTACCCACAGACTCAATCAACTGCAAACTGAAAATATTTGAAAAAAATTTCAGAAAGTTCAGAATTTCAGAATTTTCTGTGTGCTGGCCACTGTTTACATAACATGTACATCGTGTGTGCATGCTAAATTAACTTCAGTTGTGTCCGATTCTTTGCGACCCTATGGATTGTAGCCTGCCAGCCTCCTCTGTCCTTGAGCTTTCTAAGCAAGAATACTAGAGTGGGTTGTCATTCCCTTCTCCAGGGGATCTTCCCTATCCAGGCATCGAACCTGAGTCTCCTGCATCTCCTGCATTGGCAGGAGGGTTCTTTACCACTAGCACCACCTGGGAAGCCCACTTACATTGTATTAGGTATTATAAAGGTATTATAAGCAATTTACAGATGATTTAACGTGCACTAGAAGATGTGCATAGGTTATATTCAAATACTATACCATTTTGTGTAAGGGGCTTGAGCATTTGAGAAGTTTAGTATCCACAGGAGGTCCTGAAATCAATCCCCCTTGGATACTGAGGAAGAGGTTTACTCTTTCATGATGCTACACTTTCTCTCTCTTTAGAATGTATTTTAGTCAGGAAAGGCCAGGAAATGGTACAGTAGTGAATAATATCAAAAACATCCTGGCTCATTAAAGCAAAAGTTTATTTCTTATTCATTCAGAGTCTATTCTAGTGAAGCTAGCCTTTATGTCATACAAGGCTCTTTTCACCTTGTATCATTTCCTTATCAACTATGCTCCCATAATTTCTAGAGCATGAGAAAAGAATATGAAAAAATTGTACAATGCCTTATAAATGCTTTCACCCAGCATGAAAAATGCCATTTCCTCTCGTATTTTATTGGCCAAAGTCATATGGCCGTGCCAAATTTAAATAAATAAGAAGTGTAATTCCCCTGCATGTTAAGGAAAGGGAAGAGATTTATAAATATTGGCTAACACTAGTAATATCACTCACTGAACGTAAGATCTTCAAAAATGTGTGTCTTACATTCTTATTCAACTTTAGCATATAAACATCACTTAATAAATGATTAATGTCTGCCATGAGTCACCAGAGCTGCTAGTTCAGTTCAGTTCAGTCACTCAGTCTTGTTGGACTCTGGATTGCAGTATGCTAGGCTTCCCTGTCCCTAACCAACTCCTGGAACTTGTTCAAACTCATGTCCTTCAAGTCAGTGATGCCATCCAACCATCTTATTCTCTATCATCCCCTTCTCCTCCTGCCTTAAATCTTCCCTAGCATCAAAGTGTTTCCCAATGAGTCAGTTCTTTGCATCAGGTGGCCAAAGTATTAGAGTTTCAGCTTCAGCATCAGTCCTTTCAATGAATATTCAGGACTGATTTCCTTTAGGATTTACTGGTTTGATCTCCTTGCAGTACAAGGGACTCTCAAGAGTCTTCTCCAACACCACAGTTCAAAAGCATCAATTCGTCAGTGCTCAGCTTTCTTTATAGTCCGACTCTCACTTCCATACATGACTACTGGAAAAACCATAGACTTGACTAGATGGACCTTTGTTGGCAAAGTAATGTCTCTGCTTTTCAATGTGCTGTCTAGGTTGGTCATAGCTTTTCTTCCAAGGAGCAAGCATCTTTTAATTTCATGGCTGCAGTCTCCATCTACAGTGATTTTGGAGCCCAAGAAAATAAAGGCTGTCACTGTTTCCACTGTTTCCCCATCTATTTGCCATGAAGTGAAGGGACTGGATGCCATGATCTTCATTTTTGAACGTTGAGTTTTAAACCTTTCCTTTGTTTTTTAACCTATAGTTACACTATACTTGCCTCTTGCCCCATTACTTTGTTGTTAATCCCATGAACATGCTAATTGCAAGCCAATACCAACAGTTGCTCAAACTTTCCATTGATCTTTCATTGATCTAAAGGCAGTTTTACCTGTACTTGCCAGGAGTATGTAAAAGGCATCACTGATGTTTTGTGTACAGCATTTTGTAGTTTAAAAAACATTGTACGTTTTCTTTTATTTCACAAAGTGTTGTGTTCATATCTCCTAACTCGGGTCTATCAGATTCTCAAAAATGAATCATTAAGCTTCATGGCCAATGTGTTCTTTAGCTTTCTGGGTTATCAGTGTTTTCTTAGATAGCCATGCTAGACTGCAGCTTCCCGAGGGACTCACTGTTAATCCTGTTTGATTAAAGTGGTGGGTACTGATGTTTTGCTTAGTGATTATTAAAGCTAGATTTTAATTGCATTTTTAAGGGTCCACCTGCAGTGCAGGAGACCCAGGTTCAACTCCTGGGTTGGGAAGATGCCCTGGAGAAGGGAATGGCAATCCACTCCAGTGTTATTGCCTGGAGAAT